TCATTGTGGTGAGTCCACCCATGTTGCACTAATGAGCCCCGGTGGATAGCACAGCATGTACTGACTGGTTCGAACCTAGCTCAAAGCAAACAAGTCAATTGGACAAGTTGATTCGATATGGAAGCAGCAAGGTGTTGCTTCAAGTCAAGCTAAGGTAGTGTTGAAAACTTGCACCAGAGGGCGTATCGTCCCTTATTATACAATGCGCGAGGTGGTGTTATCTGATGAAGTGGTATGCAAAGATGTCAAGGTATGTGTAAATCTCGCAACTCAAAAATAAAACTTATGGTTGACAAACGACTTTTGCAGGACATCATGGCTATCATAAATGTACAGCATAATTGCGCTGAGGCAGAATGCAATGTGACAATGTGCCATTTCAAGAAGCTAGAACGCAAGATATCAACCATCCGCATATGTGGCATTGTTCACAATACGACAAAATCTTTCATCCTCAACTCTGGGGCGCAATACAATAGTGAATTACATAGAAGCATTGCAGCAGTCGGCTTTGACCCGGTTGCACCTGAAGAATGGAACAGGGCTGTTGATGAGGGATTGGACGAGTGGCACAAGACTAAGAATGATACGTAGTTTTTGGCTATTGAATGAATCACCACATTTCATGAAATGCGGTGCTTCAATATAGCTACCGGCGGCATGTGCTCGGCATTGTTAACTCTCATGTTTTGTAATAGTTTGAATAATAAGGAATCACCGTGGATCTTTGATAAACTTCATACGTTTGCTGAGTATTGAATGAAGCACCACATTTCATGAAATGTGGTGCTTCATTACTGCTCCCGACTGCTTATTCTCGCCAATTTTAACTCTCATGTTGATGTTTATGGAAGCGCTATTGAATGAAGCACCACATTTCATGAAATGTGGTGCTTCAATAAAGCTACCGGCGGCTTATGCTTGGCGTTGGCAACTCTCATGTTTTTCTTGGTCATAGTTTGAAATTTAAGGAATCACCGTGGATCTTCGTTAAAATTCAAACATTTGCTGAGTATTGGATGAAGCACCACATTGCATGAAATGTGGTGCTTCAATACATCTCCCGACTTCTTATTCTCCCTTTTTAAGTCTCATGTTGATATTTATGGAAGCACCCTTGATCATTGTAAAATTGGGAGAGGAGAAAAATAGCTTCGAAAAGCGCATCCTTCAAAGGAAGACTCTTGTTGGCCTAATGAAGTTGTTTTCAATTATATAATTGGTCAGTTGAGTAATTATTGAAGCACCACATTTCGTGAAATGTGGTGCTTCATTACAGGTTGGTCAATGTTTGAAGAACCAAAGATTCATTGATTATATTCATATCATATCAATATAGATATTATCTTTTTTATTTCATGATTCGAAATAGTTAATCATCAATTTTGAAACAAAGGAAAGAAATTACAAGAAATTACAATTATTTTCCAAACAAATAAAAACATTGACTTGTCAACTATTCATGTGGATCAGTCTCGTCAGGCGCCAATGCTTCATATACGGGAACCATGTATGGCGGGATAAGAGAATCAGAAACAGAAGAGTACTGAAAGAAATCCGAAACGTCTAGGTACATTGCAAGGGCAACATCTTGCCTCTTGCAAATCACGCGGTCCCAAGATGATCGATCTACTCCATTGTCAATGTTGCCGTTGGGGAATAGAGCCCTTGATATCGTAGTCATCACCAGATTTGCTGTTCGTTTCCAGATAGGTTCTTCAACAAAATCGTAACTCTTCATGCGTGCAGTTACCAGTAAAACCTGAATAAGACCGGTCTTGTATGTCCGTGATGGATCGCGCCAGTAAGTGAGCAGCCCCTTGAATCCCAGACAAAGAAATGAAACAAGAGGCGCCAAAGCTTGTGTTCTCAGGCCAACGGTAGAAGAAACTTGACGAAAAGTAGCATCCATTCCTTTTTGTTTGCCTTGAAGTTTTTCATTACATTTGTAGTGAAAATTATGAGCTCGAATCACCGCCAGGGCTTCAATGCATCCGTAAATTGAATCAACTAGTTTAGTCAGCTGTTTGATGCAATTCATTTCCACAGTTTGAATATGATTATTGTTGCTGTTGTTGTCCATTTGTAGTTTTTGATAGTGGACTGCACATTGAAAAGATTCTTTCACATCCAATTGTGAAAGATTGTAATGCTCCAGATCCGCAATCGGCTCAATAGGGCCACCTTCAGTGCCAACTAGTCCCACAGCCGCCAGTATAAATTTGCCTGCCGTCTCCATGCGAGACTTCTTCACATTTTGCATGTGATTGAGGGTGTAGCACAGTGACTTCTCTTGAACGTCACTACTTGGATTTTCGCCAGATTTGAAGTCTATATAATTCCAGTCCAAGATTTCGTCTTTGAACCAAGGGCATTCACAACCAGGATGGAAAAGACCATCGTCTGGTACAAGTCTCGTAAGCATCTGATTCCAGCTATGATATTGGAGTGAAGTATGGTAATTACTTACTTTGTTTGAGAGCTACCCATTCACTTAGTTTCACATGTTTACTAAAATATAACCTTTCACTTCCTTTACTGCGCTCATTAGGATCATACGATGTGAAGCTAGCTGACAAGCGGCCCAGGAGCAATCGTTTACAGGCTTCATGCATCAGCATGCAATCTTTCACGGTTTCCTTTTTAAAGGTTACTGAAGAACACCGGATATCAATTTTTGGATGTTCTGGGTCTTTCCACACTCTGAGAAGTTCAACAGTGTTTGTAGTCGAGTCCATAGGTGAAACATTAATCACGGGAGCTGATAATGTGGATGGTACAACCATTGACTGTGGTTCCACATGATCAATGTTATTGAGCGATGTGTTGAGATTGGGTGGATGGTCTGGCGCCGTGGTCGTCATCTTGTTTGTTGGTTCCTCATGAGTCATATTGGAATTCCTCACAGGTTGATCTGAATGCGTGGAGGGTGTAGGGCTGGGTGAGTCCCTAATTTGCCAGTCTCAAAAGGTCGCCGAATTGATCAACAATTCGGAAATTCGGGAGAGTTTTGGAAGCAGTCTTTGTTCTCCCTCGACAGGCCAAAAAGGATCGTTCCGGAATTTTTCAATGTACAAAATAACCGCGTTAAGGCCGTATTCGCCTAGTTGAATCGTGTTCTCAAGGTCATTATCCGGCAACCACAAATCAAGATTCCTCTGGAGATCGAGGGCGCGTTCTTCAGGATCTTGGCGGAAGAGACTGGTCCCAGATGGTTCATGCAATGCCAAAAAGATACGGTTTCCAGGTTGAGCTAAGGGGAAGGTAGAATGGAACTCGGAAACTACTAGTATAGTCCGTATGGCTTCGCTAACTTCATGGAGTTTCGCACAGGTTCGACCTTTTTTTGGGGCGCTTGCAGATTCTGGGGCCAGCTCGAGAGAGTTCATGCGTTTTTTTGTTTGAGCTAGAGGGGCCGAGTGGGTAGCCGGGTGGGTGGTAGACCGACTAGACCTTTGAGGTAACTCAGAGCCTTGTTCTGAATGATCGGGTATGACAATCCTTTTTCGCGTGCAAGCTAGAGGGGCAGATGTAGTAGTGGTAGTCGTGTTGGTGGCAGGGCGACTCGACTTGATAGATAACGCAGAGACACGTTTTAATTTTGCAAGAAAGGTGTTGGAGGTTTCGCAGGATTCACTCGCTGGGGATTCATCACCAGGGGTTGGTGATTTGTCAACGGAAGGTTTCGTGGCGCGCCTGTTTGATGCATCTTCTGAAACTGCTTCATTTGTATCCTCATCGTCTTCATCACCGGAGTCCGTGTTCTCGTTTTGTTCGTCATCTGGATATTCAATCCACAGCGAACCGGGCTTGTTAGCATATTTTTTAGATTGAATTTCTGAAATAGAATCATGATCAGTCTGTCTGACAGTATTGAGCGCCCAGGACCGCAGAAAAAAATGAACCCTCATGACTTACTCTTGCCCTCCTTGGCAATTGCTCGGCCCATCTTCTGCCATTTCCTCACAAGAGTCTGCGACTGCCAGGCGTTGTTGATCATGAACTTTACAACCATAAGTTGTTTGGCCAGTCCTAAGGAGTAAGCGTGAGCCCCCCATTGGCGTACAGGCAGTTTGGGGTTGAAATTGGGATGTTGCATGATGGTGTCCCAATCGGGGATTTCCAGCTTGTTGTTGTTGAGATTGTTGACGTCCTCTATAAAGGTAATGACAATCAATACCATAAGATTTCAGATAATGATTATTTAAACTGACCCAAGTCTTCCGCCTCCCTCTTCCTCTCAGCAAACTTCCTCTTCCATTCGGTTTCGTCCACCTCGCTTTCAGAATATGGTGAGGCATCCCCATCGGCGCTGAGATTCGAATCCGTCTCAGCATTAAGTTTGGTAGCCTTCGTCTGACCGGTTAGCTCTTTCGTAAGCGTAGAGGAGGCTTGCATTGAATCGGATTCGGTTGGCCTTTTAAGCTTGATCTTGATCTTTGTAGGGCAGGGAGCAAGATCCCCTGAGGGTGCAGCTGACATGGCGAAGAAGTATACAAGGAGAATCGAAGGTGTTGAAAGTTTGAAATAAAACAAAAGGGAGAGAAGGAAGATAATAAAGATAATAGGAAAATAAGATGACAACCAGATAGTCGAACGAAGAATACAAAGACCATAGGGAAAGAACGTGTCCCAACAAAGTAGAGACCTTCTAATGATAACGGTGACCTCAAAGAGATCCGATCTCTGAGTATTGAGTATGAATATCATCCTCAGCTCTGGATAAACATGTATTATAGCCAGAGCTGAGGATGATATTCAACAATGTCGCCGTTTTTGAGGGAAGCTCCGCATCTCACGAGATGCGGAGCTTCCCAAGCTCCAAATCAGAACAAACTAAAACGTAAACTTGGAAGCACTTCATTAAAATGCTGTGCTTCAAAGAGAAATACGATTTATTATGTTTGTTGAGCTTGTAAATCGGCAGTCTCCAATACTTTTGTAAAGAAAGCAAAAGCACCACTCAACCCAATTAATCGAGCTTTTTGAAGCACCTGAACGTAGTACATACGTAAACTAAATTTACTATAGCCTTGAGAATCATGTATTGAAGCACCACATTTCGCGAAATGTGGTGCTTCGCGAAAAGTGGTGCTTCAATACATGATTCTCAAACCCCAAAAGGAGTACCACATTGCGCGACATTATTGATTTTCAATAATCTCGCTGTTTTGGATTGAAGCACCGCATCTCACGAGATGCGGTGCTTCAATACATGATTCACTATAACCTTGAGAATCATGTATTGAAGCACCACATTTCGCGAAATGTGGTGCTTCAATACATGACTCTCAAAGGCCAAACGGAGGACCACAATTCGCGAAATGAGGTGCTTCCCTACAGGGCTTGCAAACACTCAATATACTCACCAAATGAAGCACAATTTGTCAAACAACCTGAGAAGCTGATTTCTTACAAAATTTTTTGACAAGATTGAAATCTTGATGTCCAAATCACATCTTCTTGATCACGAAGTTGAAGGTATCTTTTTAAATCTGAGCAAATATAAGCCAATTTTGAAACACTATTAGGGTGTCATGATATCTTATAAGTCAATTCAATCAGATGTTAAAGCAACAAGTGAAGAGGTTGTTCAAAATCAATTGAACAACCACTTCAAAAGGCCATTGGAAGGAAAAGAGAATTATCTTTGACGTGTAACCCTTGTGAGATAATACTCAGTTCACTCACCAACTGCCAAGATTTCAAATAGAACCAACTTGTGTTTGACCTTGTGCAAGTCAACACCTCTTCCCTCTTCCCTCTTCAGCCCACTTCAATCCGATTTTGACTCACATCCAACAACATTCTTTTGCTTTATTTAACACCCCAAACAAATATAATCATGCCACTTACACCAGCTCAGAGCCTGAGTGAGTTTTTGCTTGTCCGTTTTGGCCTGATCAGGTGCTGACCAAAGACTCAGACGATTTGATGGACTTATCGTTTGGACCCAATTTGGGGGGAGAGGGACTGGCTAATTCCCCCTCAATTGCTGTGTCTCTCCGTGATCTGAACAATCATAGACCCTTTGGTGAGTCACTCTCCTTTCTAATTCAACCCCCACCCCTTCCTAATGTTTCGCCGCACCAGGATCCCGCGAGACACGTTATCCAGATGGGGACAGACATCGTCCTCGAACCAATAGGTCCCAGAGTCCCAATCGACAAGGGACCCTTTCCCAGAGTGAGAGGTACCCACGTGAAACTCCACCATTGGATAACCACGAGGGCATGAGCTACTCCCGACCACTTGCTGGAAGCAATCTCCAGGCATTTCAAGCTTTGTGCCAGGATGCCGGCTTGGATATCGACCATGAGTTAACCGCACAAAACCTTGCACAGGTGAATTTTGTCATTGTCTTTCCTTCCACCTATATTCAAACTGTGCTTTGCAGGTATACGGAGTGGACAATCAACACATCGCCCAATCCACGTTCCTGGCCCGTATCTTGGCGAAGCTATCCAACATGGAAAGCAAGGTAGATAGCCTCACCCTTGAGGTTGCCAACCTGAAGGACACTGTTGAAGAGGCGTTGACCACGGCTACAAACCACCCAGAGGAGGCCACTAATAGGACCAACAATGCTCCCGTTGTTTCCCAAGCTGTTTGGGTGACAAGCAAAGAGCTCAACGTAAGCCAAAACCTAAGCATTCCACTCTGTTGAAACTGATGCAGGTTGAGGTTACAGCAACTGATTGTTGGGAAAGCGATGGAGATGATCACTAATCCCATCTTGGAGGCTTACACCGCTGTGGACACTGGTGGTCGTGGTCGTCGTGCGGGAAAAAAATCCAGGGGGTTTGGCTGCCCCATTCCCTATTCAACACCATCAAAGTGCGTCATAAGAACTCATTTTATTAGGTATACCTTCACACAGTGACATCAATTACCCACGGTATCAGCAACATTGCAACAGTCAATCTCCAGCATGGAAAGCGGATCACCTTCCCCCCAAAAACCTAGGTATCACCGATGCAACAGCTACCAAGTTATATTACAAAGCTATCAGAAATCATTTGAAACATGTGCGTGAGAGGTATCACAAGTTGGTTAGTACTTCAATTCAAACCAATTGAGCATCGCCCTCATCCTATTTGCGCTGATATTAATCTGAAGCTTTTGACCGGCATTGACGAGTATCACAATTCCAGCCACGGAGAAGGAGACGGGGCACGTGAGGGTGAAGGCGAAGGCGAAGGAGATGGCAACAGCGAACCACGCGAAGGCGAAGGCGAATCCAGAATTGTGGTACCTTACATAGAGGATCTGATGTACTTGGTCAGTCAGTATTGGGTCAAAGTATATCTAAACCGAATCTGACATGGGTGCATTACTAGATTGCCCAAAAATTTGACACCGTTGGCAAACATGCAAACTCCGCCTCGTTGTGGGCGTCCACCTCGGGTGCTACGCGCGCCAGGCTAGCATACTTGGTCAGTGTGCTCTTTTTGGTGTCCCCCACACGTGTTCAGAAACAACTGACGCTGTAATTATCATCCCGAAGCGGCGCGAAGCAGCACGCATCTACCAAATTGGCCGAGGCTCCAGCTCTATATGGGACGCGGTTGATGGACAGCTGAACGTTTTGAGATCAAAACCGGGCAATTATTCGGTTTCGTCAGTTTTTTCTTCCTACTGTCGTGGAATCAATGTATTTGAACTGACGCGATCAAATGATGCAGGTTTTATAGCCTGGTATATGCCAAAGATAAGAAGGTTTTTACTGGTAAAACAACCTTTGTTGAGGTGAAGAAAAAATATGACTTCAAGTTGCCATCGGACGTCGAGATCATCGCTGGTATACCGCTACAAGCCACTCCTGAGTGAAGTTTCGAGGTCAATCACAGGGAAAGGGCCAGCATCGCTTGGAATTTTAATCTACCCAGCCAATTGTGAATCCGATCAAGCTATCAAATATCTTGTTTTCCAAACTGTCTTCTCTCTTTTTGCAATATGATGATGATGACCCAGATCATCATCTTTCTGTGCCTAATCGTGAGCGCATGGCTTGATCGCCATTGCCGAGTCAAATCTATATTTTGGATTGCTGAGCTGTAAACCTGGGCGGGGATGGATGGATTCAGGGCTCACGCGGCACCAGGTGCGGGTTATTCTATCGGGGCCAACCCCCCGTGACCGCCATCCGGCAGACCAATTATGGCCTTATGGCGGTTTAGCGGCGGCCTGTGGGCCGCACCACCTACCGCCAAGTGGCGGTCGACCGCTGGGACCGGTCGAAATACGGCCTTGGTGCATTTTGGAATTGACCGCCTGAAGTCGGACCCCTAAGGCGGCCTGGAGGTGGTCTCGGCCGTGCCGCGGTGTATAAACCCCGGCACGTGGGACTTAGTTAAGTTTGCGTATATCCGGTATTTGCCATCGTCTGTAAGTTGAGTTTTGGGATATAGCGGCGTGCTTCAAATCTCCGCAAATTCAACTTTGCTTCTCCTCGCACTCCTCGCATAAGCTCTGAGTACATATATGTATAAGGGCAGGGAAGGGTGTTGGACCTCGCAAGTCTCCCTCCAAAAATCACATTCGGTCAACCTAATTCGCTTTGCATTGATCTCACCAAGTTCCAGTCCTACCTTTCTTTGACTTCGTTACTTTTGATCTCGGATATGGCTACTGCAGATGACGGAGCCGAAGTGCAGAATCTCAATGCTCTACTGCAAAAGTCTCTTTCGGTTCTAAACTTCAAGCCTGAAATAAGCTTGGCCTCATTGATGCCCGGTGTATCTGCTGCCTCTGCTGAAGCCACTCGTGCGGCGCTCACTGTTGAGTCCAATGATGATTCTCTCAAATCGCTGAACGATGATGTTATTGTCCAAACTGCTTGGCTAATTCTGTGCTGCTACGTTCTTCACAGGAAAATACGGAAAAATATCATTGCTTTTTTAATGACATGCACTTTCACAAGTTCGTCAGTTTCATAACATAAGTCCACTCCTGCCGCTACTGATCAGATGATCCTACTTCATTTAGTCATATAGCTCATCATCTATTGGCGATGTATGCGCTTGGTGCACCGCCGGCCTTGATCAAGGTAAATGGCCTGGCCTGACCGAAGCCTTTTGACTATTTCTACATACGTGATGAGTCGGCTCACATCGCATTTTTTTCTCCAAGGCCGCTTTCGAGACAGAAGCCCTAGAACAAGTCTGTCAGCTTGGTTCAATCCACAACTTTGCCATTGCTAAGAGTGCAACAGGTTGACTGAAGCAATTTGTTTCTCAGAGACCTGCGCTCTCACCGCCATCGGGTGAAATGTTTAATGAGAAAAATTGGACTATACACTTGGGGGATGATAAGTTTGTCTTCAGAATCTCTTTATAAGACTGGATGACGGAAAGAATTTCTAACTTAAAACTGCGCAGATACTATCCCAGGTACTTGTCCTTCTTTTCCGCCGAGGTTGCTCGGTTAGGCGCCATGAATGCGGTAGATCATTATGTCTTTCGCCAAACTGAAGGAGATATGCTGAATCGGTTAGCAAATCGGTTCGATCGCTCCGTTGCCCTCTGACTATGCTAATGATGCGCACGTTGCTTGTGTGATTATCTGCCGATGTGAACACAAGATCTTTGGGAGGCGTTTATCATCCTAGTTAGTGTTTTTTGACGTTTTCTTTTCGGATTGTGGCTCATGATGCTTTTCCCTTGCAGTAATTCATGTACGCCGAAGAATTTGAATTGATCCTTCCCATACCAATGCTCATGTTAAAATGCGCCTCTAGTGGGGTTATGGTCTTGAATTTTCCGTCGACGGCATCGTAGCGGAAGGTGAATGCTTCAATCTTTGTCCTTGATGATTGATCGAATAGCAATTCTGTCTGCACGGCCAACACAGGTCTTGCGATTGCCGCCGTCCATTCTACCGAGTACAGGAAGTTGCAGTTCAACAATTTAATCAAGATCTCACAGGAACTTGAAGGATCTAGCGTCATAGGATATGACAATTCGAACAACAAACCTAACTTTCAAGCTACTGTACAACAGCTCAGGTTGCATGAGGTCACCTCTCGCGCTCGTCAAGCTTCCAAAGGCCTGACCGCATTTGAGGTTCTTATTCTCCCTCTCCAAATGTTTATCATTTCGTTCGCGCTGCTGACATCACGTTGATCGATTCTAAAACTGTTATTCTGGTAAATTAGATCCTCCACAGGGTGGCAAAAGATCCAAAATTGGAAACGCCACAAAACCGTCCATCAGATCTGCTAGGGTCCCTCATCGATACCTGTGAAATAAAGTCGAATGAAATATTACATTGGACTGATCAATGGCATTTCCAACCTAAATTAGACTGGACTGAAATAGTAAGCAAAACTGAGGAGGTAAGAGTTTCCAGAAGCAGAATTTGGAGACCAAGATTCATTTTAAGGAACACTTTCCCTGTTGCGTAATTGTCCGCTCTAGTTGTGCTGGCTGGTCGTTGCAATTTACGCCTCCAGCTACCACGATGGACCATCACCATATCAGCTCGACTTTCTTATGTCAGCATGTTCTATTTGCTTGATTTCGACCTGCTCGTTGAGAGGAGTGTTGACACATTCATTTTCTGGTGTGATCACAGGTTACATTGCGTCACTTCTTGCATATCTCTCCCAACGATCCTCCAGAACTTATCCAAAGCATCTCAAAAGGTGCTGCTCACAAGTTACTTTCGTGTATGTTTTTTCTCTGATTTGACCTCATACTTGTAGATTGATGTAAGGCTTGTGTTCACACCAATCAGTCCGTCATTGCGCTTTGGGTTTCACGGGGACGTCGACCACTTCACCTTTCCCAAGATTTGGGAGTTAAAAGCGTGGATCCGCACGAGGTAGAGAGTAGCAAAAAGTGGCCAGCATTGATCTCTATTGCAATGGCCCATTCGGATGAACACGTTACAAAGGTAAGCTTCGAACTAGTTCATACCGAGCCGACCACTGTGGTAATGTGCCATGGTCAGAGTATTTATAAACGTATTTTTCTCAAAAATTAGGTCATCCGTACGCTTGCTTGGGCTTCCCAATTATTCGGGCGGGCATCGCGGGGTGTATACGCCTGCGAATTTCCGGGCTCGGATGAACTGGATGGCAGTATCTTTTATCGCGTACGTCAAATATCTGGGTTGAGATCTTGTATAGATCATTAACAACTGTGATGCATGTCTAGGCTGCGTTAAAAACCTTTGATAAACAAGGGTGGATTCGCGATATAAGAACTGCAGACCGCGAGTTCACTTGGTTGGAACATCAGCGCTGAATGTTTCAATTTTTTATCCATATTTTTCTTAGTAAGAAGATTTTATATTTCTGTTTCAATTGTAGATTAGAGCTTTCCAGCGCTGCACTTTCCTCCCTCACGCTCAATGTGAGTATGTACGTCAACTTGAAATTTTGTGCGCAATTTCTTTCTCCAAATAAGACGTCTCTAAAAGGCGCAGCCATGAGCAAGAAACTACATTGAGTTTGACCAGTTTACACACTTCAATTTTTGCCTTTGGGGGTACCAGAGATCTGACTGTGAAGTCGTCTCTGTAAGGCGCATGGGAGTGCCTGGAGATATTTTATTGTGGAAATGGGTTGAATTCTACACCCAACGCAACACCAGGGACTAATCAAGGTACTCACACGGAGATGAGAATGACCAGCTTGTAATTTTTGCTCTCCATGCGCTTTTTGGGTCAATGGTTTTTCCTGATCTTGAGCTTCAATCATTAGCCCTGTTTTTTTGGTATCATTACGGGATGACTTCACACCTCAGGAATCATCAAGTGCAAAACCTGATTGAAGAGAGTCACAGCGACCAGAGTTGTGACTTCCTTTGATTGCAAGTCATGTTTTCCTTGGGCTCCCTTCCTGTTGTCCACTCAGTAACACAGCCCTTCATTTGTCACTGTTCCTTTCATCAGAAATAACACATCATTTGTGACCAACACTATGGAGTAATACAAGGAAGATTAACAGGAAAAATTATGTGCCCCACACAATTGAAAAAGGAAGCACAGAGTCTTGGGAGGCAGAGCGGGAGCCACGGTCACTCTCAGCATATGAGCATGAGCTACATTCATATATAGATGTTAACTTGAAGTTAACTCGAATGGATGATAGGAGCAGAGCCTGAGCAAAATTAGCAAACCTATGACAAACAAGACTCACATTGGAAGACATTCACAACTCTCTTAAATCAGGTTTGGCACTTAATAATTCCTGTAGTATCAGTACCTTGATTGAAAGAGTAAAAAATTGCTTGACTATCCTCAAGAATGCATAGGTACATGTTTTGGGATCAAGAAAGACTGAGTCAATCTCGCTGGAGACAAAAAGATCTGAGAAAAGTATATAAATTATTAGTATGGGATCCAGGAACCTGTCAACAGCCTAGCAAACCTATTTTCAAAATCAGCCTATTCAGCATCACCTCTATCTCTCATATAAGAAAGAAAACAATTGTTCAGCTAAGCTTGTGGTCTGTGGATATAAATTGAACTATTTTTTTGGTGAAATGCTTGGAAAGATGTGAATAAAGCATATAAGTTGATGTTGATCATGTTGCAGCAACAACTCTATTGATCTGGAAACAATCTGAAAGAAACCTGCCAATTTTGGGAAAAATTTGTTTGCTCACAACATATTTAATGTACACATCTTGATTGTCTCCTGTGGTTGGCCTTGGGGCTGGCACAGGACCCCGGCATGCTCTTATAAGGGGTACAGATCCAAAAATGTGACTTTTGAGCTTGCTCGGAAACTTGTCCCTGGCTTTACCCATAGCTTTAAGACAGGTTTAGTCTTTTCAATCAGCTGTATTGGACTTAGCGACTCTGAAATTCAGGCAGAAACCGGTAAAATCCAAGAGAACCCTGTTTAATCCCATATGTCGTATCTCCGCGCGAGCTCAAAAGTCACAATTCTAGATCTGTACCCTTCATAGGAGCATACCGGGGTCCTGCTGGCACTCACACCGCGGGAATTAATTAGTTTGAACCCCGATTGAACCAAATTTCGGTGTCCGAGTTCGAAATTTCCTCAAATCGTGAATTTCGTTCACAATTTGTTTGCAATACGTTTGCCGATCTCCCTTGAGTGGTACTCTGCTCGCCCCGAGTATGCACAGCTACATCATACAACAACAACGCCTTTCAACAACAGTCACCACAGATTCGCCGATGTGCAGAGCATCAAGACTGAGGATGCATGACAAAGGAAAGATGGCTTAATGGTCGGAAATGGGGTGGTTGTTGTATGTTGTAGCTGTACATACAAACGCGGGGCCAACAGAGTACCGCTCAAGGGCAATTGGCAAACCTATTGCAAACGAATTGTGAACAAAATTCACGATTCGAGGAAATTTCGAACCCGGACACCGAAACTCGGTTCAATCGGGTTTTGAACTAATTAATTCCCGCGGTGTCAGCCTGAAATTACAATTGACTATACTACCAAATATTGTACTCGCAACACAGTGATGGAACATCACAATGCTTGATCAGTGTAAAGATGTGTCTTGATTTGGCTAGAACTACTGGGAAGTACATGGTCACTTAAGCTACAATATACCACAGAACCTCCATTTAATTGAAGGCCTATCAGTATCACATACATATAAATCACATTAAAAGGCCACAAAGACAATTCGACTTGCGAGACAAAGTGTACTTCAGGTCATGGAAAAGTTTAACTCCATTGTAAATGTCTTGACAGCCCATTGAACCATTAGAACAAAATCCTACATGATGATTGGAAAGTTGAATGAAATCAATTATAAAAACTCAAGTCTATATACAATGAGAATCGAATGCATAAGTCGACGAATCTCAAAAGTCTAATTCAGCAGAGACCCTTGAAAAATCTTACACCTTTTGTGAGACCTTATGACTAGAATTATCACAAAGTCATTACATATATACACACATACTTGCTTTGAGCCAGCTAACCTAGTGTCCCAGCGGGGCAGAAACCAAAGAAACAACAAAGCCTTTCAATCCTTAAGAAATCAACAAGTTCACTTTTAAAAACCAAAATCGTGACGAAAGAATTAAAATGTAATAATTGAATGTAAACCCAGAGAGACGTGGTTTTGAATTATCAGGCCTAAGTCTTACAAAAATGATCAATTTTAAAAGAAAAAGAAACGCCAAAACCTATTCAACGAAGAGCTTGTTGATTCTTCTTCTTGATGATCATCTTGATTAAGTTCTACATTAGATTCTTCATCTCTAGATATCAAACTTTGTTCTTCAGTTTCTTGATCTGTTCCTACCAGAGAGTTTTCAAGCTGATCAGGTGATGGTGCAGGAATAAGTATACTAGCATCAAAAGACGATGAACTTTCTGTATCACATTCAGGAAGATCTCTTGATCCGTTTTGAGGACTTTTTGTTGTGTTATTGAGATGGTTAATCTGAGGACTTCGTAGGGCTGGATCCCAATGTTCTCTTGGATCATTTTGGGATTGTAGACCATTAGATACTTCAATTGACTTTAGTTTCTTGGATTCGAAAACGTCGATTCGAGATGGTGATGGCCACTCAGAGGGTATCTTTGGTGCGGCTCCTGATGAGATGAATTGACTTTGGTGAACTTCAGAGCTGGTTGTAATACTTGCTACGTCCGGGCTGAACGCGCATCGAGAGGCTAGATCTGATCCTGGCATAGAAGAGCACTTGTTCTTTGCTGATAAGTTCTTCCTACGTCGCTTCGTTCGGCCTTGCGTAGCACGAGTAGGTGAACCCTCGACTGTATCATCTTGTAGTTCCCCCAACATTCGCTTCCGGGCGCTCAGTCTTGTGTTATATGGATGTGATGACATCTTGTGAAAATCGGATGGACTGGAAAAGGAGGATGTAAAAATGAACGATATAGAATGAAAATTGGTGATCAACTTTGTAATAGAGTGGATGTTGAAAGTTCTAGTTAAACTTAGGGGTCAGTCAGGGTCTGTCTCGCTCAAAGAGTTTGTTTGTTGGTTGCAATTATAAGGTTTTTTTTTCTGTGTAACATACATGGAAGCATCCTCTGAGAACAATTACTTTTCTTTAAATGTCTTTTTGGCTTTTTTGGGGAACAATTAATTTCAGTTAAAGGGACAGGAAGAATCAGAGTCGGATGCCAATGATAGGATCTCCAAAGCATATAATTTAGCCTTGATGCATAAGCAAAATACCAAATTAGTCATTTTGCGATCAAGAGAAGCCGGAACAAGAATCAACATGCTTCAACCAAACGAGACGGTTCATGAACGCCGGAAATGGGATCACCTGTCGATTCGGAGATCAGAAGGCGCTTGACCGTTTCCGTACGGCGTTCACGGTAAGCGGGCGACGCGGAACGCCGTGGTCGAGAAATGCCACCGGCGATGACTTCCTTTTGATGCAAGACTAAGTTTTTGGGCTCACCATGCCCGGATCAAAGCCGAGACAACTTAGTAAAAATGTTATTGAGCATTGACAACGGACATCTCTACCAAAACCTTCATCTGGTCTAATTCCTTCAAAGGCTAGTAACTGGCTTATGATCACTTCGATGATTCTGACCATGACAAATTCTGGGAATAATCATCAACAGTTCTATGGTACATAAAACATTCTGATGTCACAGAAGGTATATGTACCACCACCACTTCTTCGTAGCTCAGCATCCAACTCACTACATCTAAAGCCTTGCTTTAAGATCGTAGGTGGTTTTTCACAGAGCAGAGCAGATTTCAGCACGCCTTTCCAAGTTTTCTTTGTTGATACCACTTGTCGGCAATGCTAACAACAGCCGTCATACTGAATGGTCTCTTTAGCTATAAAAAAGCCAACCACTCACTTCATAGCTACACAGCCTTCGGGTCTCGTTGTTGTCTTCCTAATAGAGGCCGAGGTAGGACTCTAACAACTCTCACCGCTATGGCAAAATGAATGATATACATACTTGGTATCATTCAAATCAAAATATAATTCCAACTCCGATTTCAAAAACGTACCTGAAGAAAATATCGATGAACTAGCCAATTGAACATGCAATTCGAGTCCAATAGTAGGTTCAACTTCTAAGGTCAATGATTTCCATCTAGAGTAATACGATGAAGATCTTGACTGATTTTGATAAGTTCCTGAACGTGTGAAAGAACTCATTCGATGAATCCTGATGACCGTTACTAAACCATCGACTGTCTTGACAAGGTATCTGGGAGGGAACTCATCAACCAACATGATTTGGAGGGTGGTCAAGTTGATCGATCTGGCATGCCGTTTCAAAAGAAGGCGTGCACAGACGCGTCGCAGCGTGAGAATACAATCAAGGTCATCCTTGGCATCAGCATGGAAGGATTTCACTACAGAGCTAAGAAGAGGACAATTGTAAAACTAAAAACCTCCATCATCAGGGTTCACTGAGTGGATGTGTACCAAAAGAAGCATCATACCCATCGATGATCCAAGTGGCACTCAAGCTTTTGTAGGGTCTTTTGCTGGGACTCATGATACAGTGGAATATACTGAATGGTGTGAATCTTTTTTGCAAAAAAGGCTTATATCCACTACAAATCCTGAGGATGATCTGGTGTGAGTTGAACTTGTACTACAGGACTTGTGTTAAATTAAGATGATAAGCAGATCTCCAAGCCAATCAGAGCCAGAGTAAACCTTATCTCAATCACCCCTTTGAAAAGGTTGCAATGAGTGCTGGATGATAACAAACAATAAAATAAAAAAGTGATACTACAAGTTAAATAGTCAAGGTACAAAATGAAAAAGGATTCCTTCAAAAAGATGATTAACAAAAAGATAAGAAAGAGAAAATAAATGAAGATGACCAGAAAAATCAAAAGAAAAGATTGATCAGAAAACTTGAAACTTAAAAGTTTAAAGATCAGGATTTAAATCCAGATCAAAAAGATCTTCTTCTACTTCTGGTGGTGGTGGTCTTCTAGATGACATAGTAGGATAAACCACTTGAGATTTCGCCACAACAGAAGGACGAACTAGAGAAAAATCAAGACAAGTGATCATGATCAGCTTTTGAAGAATTTCGAAAAGAAATAGAAATCCACATACCACCAGAAGCCGAACGAGTTTCTCCAACCACAGGACCCAATTGATTCCCCGCAAGTTTATCAATCTCACTGGGATCTGTTCCTGACATCTCTTGACCCATCCTACCTCTTCTGATAATATCTTCAGTTGGAAAAGGCATTAGAAACCTTAAAGCTGGATCTTGTAAATCTAATCCAGCCGTAGCCACTGTTGTATTATTAGGATTCGTGGTAGGTGGTGCTGGTGGTGCTGAAGTATATGGAGCGATCAATTTTGCATGGTTTAGAATTTGAGTAGGTTTTAATGAAACTGTTTAATAGAATGAATGATCATCAGTGAAAGTTTCTATTCTGAGGTTAGATATAAGATTGATTTACATACGTGAATCGATCTTTCTATAAGATTGTTTTTCTTTTTCACCATTTAAACAAATCGAATTTAATTTTTTTTCCGCATCATAAATCTTTTGAATGTTTTGATTTAATTTATTTTGATTAATGATCTGAATTTGATTCATCAATCGATTCATCCGCTTACAATTCGAATCATGAGTAGCATGAAATGATAAAAGTTTAACAAGGTATTGGTCTAGTTGATTTAAATCATTTAAAAGTTTTTGAGGTGTTTGATTTGGAATGGTATTGTTAGTTGAGATTTGATGAAAGATTGAATGACTTAAGGTTTGATAAGATTTCAAAAAACTTTGGAATTGGTTTTGGATAGGTTCAGTTTTGTTGGGTGAGATGGGTAGTTTGAGTTGGTCTAATGATTGAAGTAAGCTTTGATGAGTTGATACTGATTTAGATCCAGTCGGTTGAAGTGTCTTTCGATTCATTTTACAAATAACACTCTTGATCAGAAATGAAGGAGACTGAAGTCAAGCAAGTTCATCAGATTACATCTCATCTCAAATGTCACATCTGCTACATCCCATGTGACACCTCATGTATCCCATTTCCTTCAAACCTCTTCAAACTTTTTCAAAATTGCATTCCTTCATTACCAAAACTTCAAAATGCAATCAACACCCATCCAAATCCCATTCGTAATCGAATTCAACATAACCGTTGGATACCAAGCTCCATCAATCAACAAACTCTCAGGTAAGTTTTTTTCAAGTCCCATTCAACCCTATAATTTCCACAATCCTAATGTGAATCAATCAATCTCAAAGCTCCAATCAAGAAAACCATTTTACCAATCGGACGAGCTTATGCTTCACATGCAACTCGAGTGATCAAGAAACTAAGTATTGAAGAACATGAAGCATTAATAGCCAAAGAATTAGAAGCAAAAAGAAGTCATTCAACTGATTCTGGAGAAGAAGAAATTGATGATGGAGTAGGTGAAGAACCTGAAAGTAAAAGTCTACTAGAATCTGATCCACGTGATTGGAAGGTAAGTCTAGAGTTTCAAATACATTCGTTTCAATCGATCGCTTTGACACTCTACATACTCATCTCTTTTCTTTCTTTGGATAAGAATCAAGATCAATATGATGTCTTGGGGATCTCTTCACTCAGATGGAGAGCCACTCCTGATCAAATCAAACGTGCTCATCGAAAGAAAGTCTTACGTCATCATCCGGATAAGAAAGCTGGACAAGCTGGCAATTCAAATGACGATAGTTTTTTCAAATGTATTGCTAAAGGTAATCTTTTGATCCTCGATTCGACCGTTTTCTCCTGCCCCAAACTTACCAATTGATTTTTTCTCCCTTCATAGCTTACGAAGTTCTTTCTGATCCGGTCAAGAGACGTCAATTTGATTCAGTTGATGAGATGATAGATGATACAGATCTTCCATCTGATAAAGATATACTGGCTAAACCTGAAAGGTTTTATAAAGCCTATGGTTCAGTCTTTGAACGTGAAGGAAGGTTTAGTACTAAACTTCCGGTACCTGATCTAGGCAATGAGAATAGTACGCGTGATGAGGTAGAAGCCTTTTACGATTTTTGGCTCAAGTTTGATAGTTGGAGAAGTTTTGAATGGAAAGATAAAGATGCTAATGAAGGTTCTGATTCGTGAGTGTCTTTATTTCTATTCTGGCTTCAAGAATCACTCGCTCACATTCATCAACCTTCTTGTTTCATTTTTCCGTGAACTTCAGACGTACAGAGAAGCGTCATATTGAGAATAAGAACCGATCTGAACGTGAACGTCGAAAGAAAGAAGATAACGCTAGACGTCGTGGGATCGTTGAAACGGCTCTGGCTTTGGACCCTCGTATGAAACGATTCAAAGCTGAAGAACGTCAAGCTCGAGAAGCCAAGAAGAAAGGAAACAACCCGAGCGGTGGATCAGCTACACCTACTCTCTCAGCCACCGAAAAGAAAGCACAAGAAGAAGCTGAATCGAAGGCGAAAGCTGAAGTGGAAGCTAAGGCAGCTGAAGATAAATCGATCAAAGAAGCAGCTAAGAAAGCTAAAGAGGCAGCTAAAAAGAATCTTAAGAAAGAAAAGAAAACGATTCAATCTTTGATAACGGGTTTGAATTATTTCTTACCGATCGGAGAAAGCGTGACACCTTCGATCATTGAAGGATCATTAACTGATTTGGATACCTTGACAGCTGGATTAGAACCTGAGGAAGTTACTGAGCTTAGAAAAGAAATGGAAGGTAAAGCTCAAGATAGAGTTGCTGTCAAGGCTGTGGTTTGTAAATTCGCCAAACGAGTCTCTGATGCTGGCAAGGGTAGTTTTCGTGAATTTGTTTAAAAACTTGTTAGATACCTGAATATGCTCAATTCTCAATGATCTACGTTCATGTTTTGTTACTACGCATGTCATGGTTCAACCTTATCTCAAGCAACTAGTGGCTGTTAAAAAGTCCTACAAATGCCATTCAAAAGTCTAAGTGCTGCCCCTCACCATCATTCAGCTGTTACATCTGACTACAAATATTATGAGTTCGAACCAAGTCTTGGGTTTCTTTCCCAATTTGCTTTCAGCATCCCTTGCCCCACTACTTCTTTGCCAACGAGCCAAGGGAATGTCATGTTGACATTGTGTAAATGGGCCCAACATCATTCAGATCAGTTGGCGACCGGCAGACTGCAATCCCCATAAAAACACTTACCATGCTGCTTGCAAGTAGGTTCAAGAGTGTCATATCTCAGGCATATCTTGCTGCGTTTCACCCCCGCACAAATTTGGAACTCAGTTAAGTTTGAGTCTTACAGCCTTTTTAAAAAGTCAGATTCTCCCTTCGTTCGGTTACAAAACAATCAAGAACACAGATCACATTTTGTTTCACAAATTACTCGTCCAAAGGTGAACACATCACTCATGAAAAAAACAACGTTTCAATAAACAATCATATGAAGAAATGAAGATGTATACCACACAGAACCCAAAAATGGACAAATGATTGTCAATAAGTAGTAGAAAACCAAATCCAATCACTCTCTTTTACAATACTGACAGTAACATGTTAGTTTTTCTGATAATAAGTTATTTTCAATACATCTCTCCTTTCGAAATACACCCGACTGCGTGTCTTACAACCTTCTCGAAAGTTGAGTAGTCTTACTCCTCTTAGCAATCACATCTAATACAGTTCTTCCTTCTGTAAGCTTGGGAGCAATAGGTTTATATTTTCGAGAAGATGAAAGATGATGACTGTTGTTCTCCTTCAAAGTGGTGAGATGGTGATTGTTGGTCGGATTACTAGGGAATGAACCCAAGGCTTTGGCTTTCCAATTCTCTCTTGACTCTCTCATCAATTGTTCATTCTCTTCACGTAATCTGATATTTCTACATCAAAGAAACAGTCAAGGATCAGTTCAGTAAAGTTTACCAATCCGATATGATGATTTGATGACTTACTCAGCTTGTAAAAGACGACATTGATCCTCAAGTTCTTCGATATATTCTTTTTTCCTTGCTCTAACCGCTCTCATCCCTTCTCGTTTCCTTTGCATGAATTCGGCTTTCTCATCTGATCCTAATGGAGCTTTCGGTCTTGGTTTCGGTCCAGGTTTAGCTCTAGGTAATCCATTCTTGTTCAACACAGGTACCGATGATGATGATTGATGATGATGATGATGAGTGGTAGTATAGTCTGATTCAGCTAATGATTCACAAGGCGATCCATCGGTGATGTACTCTACAGGACGATCTGTAGGTGTCTTGGCAATGGCCGGTTGAATTGAACGTAAGGATGATGTAGCGGGATTTCGAAAAGATCGGGTAGGTGATCTACTCAGTTCTCGTTCGGACTGATACCTTGAATCATGAATAGTACGAGATGTGCCAGGTTCACGTCTAGCTCGTTTAGGTGGAGGTGGTACAAATTCAGGTGAATCATCCGAATCTGGGAAATCAATCTTCACAAAAGGGATTCCGGCCATCGATGCTGCAGTCAGAGGAGATGGTTTGTTGATGATCCGACTCGAATGACTCGGCACTGGGACTGAGGGTATCTGTTCGGTTGGCCAGGGTGATCGAGAATTAGGGCGTGAGCTCGGTGGATCCAATTGAATAGCTTTAGAATTGGGTTTCGGATCCCGATTATTAGAAGAAGTAGATGTATCAAGACGTAAATCGGGATCTACATTGGCTCGATGTGAATCGGCAGGACGAGATCGAGAGACGGATGTGTTTTGGTTCTCCATGGCAGAGTACCGTCCAAAGTGACCAAGAAGATCAGCAGTGGAAAGACCACTAGCACCTAAAAGTTGTTGTGCCCAATCGATTGCAGGAGTACTGGCAGAAGCAGCAGTTTGAGAACCACTGGGACGTTCATCCAAGAGATCTAAGACTTGTTTAGCTGATGTGGTATCTTCTAGTGGTGGTTGGAAGTCAGGGTCATCGGATTCGCTATCAGTTGGAAAATCAAGATAATCAAGTGGGTTGAACAAATTGCTCTTAGGATCGGGTTTTTGAGGTATCCTTCCTGATCGAGTTGGCTGAGGATTCCATTGAAGTTGATTGGATGAGGTGTTTGAAGTGGAAAGATTGTTTGAATTAGGAGTAGATTCGTTGACTACTTTCTGAGATTGAATGGTAGAGTCAAGAAATGAGAGTTGATGGTTGGCTTGAGTATTGGTTGAGTTAGAGTTCGTTAAGCTGTTAAGGAATTGAAGACTAGTTGATGAGTTGAGATTGGTAGGAAGATCGAATGATGAGAATAATTCAGCTAATGATCTAGCATCATTTGGATCTTGTTCCATGTTTGAGTAAAGTTGATAAGACCGACTAGATGACCAATGAAGGAACGATGAAGAGGTTCAAGTTGATAATACTGAAATGGTAATCAAGCGAAATCTCAAACTCCAAGCTCCACTTGACTACTTAATGGTTTTATCCTTCAATTTAAACACCTTAAGGTCAAATACTCTGCATCTTCGCGCCTCTCACGTGACTGAATCAATCCCGATTCCCACACATATATGTATCGTAAATACCATTCCACGCGTTCGAAGACGTGCTTTCCCCTGCTTAGAGAAATGTTCCGAGCCATACGCGCTCATTTAGTTTATTCAGACATCTTTCCATCAAAGCATATACAATAAAGCCAGGGAAATGAAAGGAGGTTGCCATGTTCAAAGCTTAGGCTCGATATTTCTTACTTCAGTAGATCCACACGCTTCAAACACATATTGCCATAGTCAAGCGATAACAAAACCAACTTACTCAATTTGAAGAAGAATGTCTTTCAAAGAATTCACCTTCATTAAACATATTGCAATGGTCTATATCACTTTAAGAAGATAAAATCGAGAGGGAGGTATGAAGCAACCGTCCAGAAGTCTAAGGTGTATGGAAGCCTACTGATTTTTTCCAAGACACCCTGCTTACCTGAGCTGACTATGTTCCATTGAATTTTATACTGATCTTTGAAAAATGGAACAAGAAATGAAATGGTGTTATAAGAAGTTTGAGAAATTGCTATGTTTATTGTCTTACTGAAGAGCTCCGAAAATTGGTTCAGTTTGTTGAGTTGAGACTGAGTTATCTGGAATGTTTGTGTTCCTCCTTCAATGACAAAGAAATTTCTAAGCTGTGCTAAGTGAGACTCAAAGCGAGAGAAGTCAAGAGATCTGAGATGCGGAAATACCAGGCCGAGAATGATGCTTTTTCCACTGTTCAGGTATATGAGATGGACCCTACGGAATCCAATGGTGTGGTATTACTATGCCTTTCTTGGTGGATGTCTGTGATTTGATTGTTTTTGATGTCTGTGCAATGTATCAAAGTCAACTGATGATTCATATGGATAATACTTTTAGAAGCCTTGCTTAGCTATTGACTCACTTTGTGACGATTTTAAGTTGATGCACAATTGATATTGAAAGAGTTTTGATGGAGATGTGTTACTATAGTCACGGAGATTTGTGTAAATTTTTTTCTTGGGGATTTGGGGGTGACATGGGAGTGATGTGTGCTAGTTTGTCAAATGTGAGGAAGAAATTGAAAGATATCACCCCAGGTGATTCGCATGTTTCATGGCTGGAAAGTATGGTCCCATTACGAAAGGTATGAAGCAGAGTACAAAATTGAAAGATAAGAAACGTAGCAAGTGTTTTGATTCAAGATGTTGTTTTTGGTAATTGGGTTGCAATATGGACCTTGAGAGCAGAAGGCCATCTTCCTTACATATGATTGAACTGGTTGGTGTTTTTGATTGATGTGGTATGATTTGAATGAGCTTTAATAGCTGATGTGTGAGGATTTAATCCGTTTGCCAACAAACAAAAGCACTTCAAACTGAAGTGGTGGTCGGCCTTTCATGTTCTTCAAACCGCCAGGCTGAGGTCTCTGATAACCTAACGGTCATCTCTGAACATATTTTTGGAGCTCTTCAGTAAGACAATCAACGTAGCAATTTCTCAAAATTCTTATAACACCATCCCATTTCTTCTTCCACTTTATCAAGATCAGTATTAAATTCAATGGGACATATTCAGCTCAGGTAAGCAGTGTGTTTTGGAAAAAAACAGTCGGATTCCATACACCTTAGACTTCTGGGTGGTTGCTTCATACCTCCCCGAGATTATCAACCGTACACGTTCTTTCTCGTCCTATGATCTCCCAAGTCGATCCAATGAAGAAGAGCTGACGCAACAGATCAAGAACGCCATCAAAAATGGATTTTATCTTCAGAAGATTGGAGTCGCTTTTATTAAGATGATTTGTACCATAAATCTCATATCTGGGTACCCTCAAATGAATCTCCAGCAACTCGACACGATGCGAAGAAAAGAATTGAGACAAGAGTAGCTTGCTTGCATGGCGTAGGGTCATCGAGTTTTCCTGCAGGAGACATCATTGTCAGTCTGGACCTAGTCCTCCCGCACGCCGGATTGAAGATGTAGAAAAAGATTTTTTGTCACACAAATCATTATCAAGTAGGAAATCCCTTGCAGCAGTAACTTGCCATCATTTGGAGCACTCATCCCTAGCCCACCATAAAACAAAACACACGAACTAACTCTCAATATTCAAGATTCAAAAATTTCGAGACTTGTTGGATCAGAGAGCGCTGTGATTGAAGACCTTCTGGAAGCTTTCTGGTCGGGGAAAGTAGTGCCTTGGTAGGGGTGGTCTTTCTTGATTGCAATAATCTTATAGGCACTTCATTATTGTCCTTGGTTTCATAAAATTCGAAGAAGAGTCCACAAATGACTGCTGAGGATGAGCTGGGCTGGCGATATGTACAAGTGATGAAGATCTGATCAATCCCAAGACCGCGTCCACTCGTTTAATATCCTCATGGTGTGTTTCTTTCCTCTACCAAATTCCAATGACCATTCAGCCCAATTTAGGCATCTACACGCGATACCATCAATTGTCATGGTTGGGTTCTATTGTCAGTCTTGACTCTTAACTCACAATGTTCATGTCGGCCTATGGTGTTTCAAAAGCCGGATTGTCTAAGTATTCAAGCTCCCGTGATTTACCAGGATTTACCAAGTCCGAACATCCTTTAATGGAACCGCCCGCCTCTATGAAGAGATATTCAATCGTCTGACCGTCCCTTTTATAAGGGGTGGGAGATTTTTCCACCCTTTTCTTTCCACCCGTTTTGTGGTGTAAAAACCCAAGGGGTGGAAAATTGCATACCCTGGGGGGTCATATGCAATGTTCCACCTTTTTTCCATTTTTTCTTGCAAGTGGAAAACAAGAGGTGGAAAAACTAGGGTGGAAAATTGGATCTCGAAGCCAGCAATATCAAATTTTCCACCCAGATTCTTTCCACCAGATAGTGAGTGTCAAAATATTTGTGCGTTGTAGAACTTATAACCCAACAAGGGTTATACAGAGCTGGAAGAGGATAATCTACTAATATAATGACTAGTAGAAGTTGTCTAAGGACTGCTCTTCTAAAACAACACAATCAGAAAGAGCTCTGTTGTATTGAGTACTGATAAGGCACCAGAGAAATGTATCTTCACACGTATTTAAACTTTAAAAGCACACTTTGTATTACTATCAACACTGCTATAGTGTTATTCCCAATTGATAACTAAAGAAAATAAGCAATATCTGATTGATATTATTCCCAATAAGTCTTTATGACTATGATACTAAAGTAAATTTCTCTTTATAGCTATAATAAAGGGCGTATTTAAGTGACCAGGTACTATTAAAATAAGTTTATGATGATAAACAAAATAATAATGGCGTAAATGATAAAGAAAAAAGGGGAACAACAGTCCCAAAACCCTCTCAAAGTATATATAACAATGTACTAGAACTTTTACAATGGTCAACAGCCTCCAAACCAATCAAATCCGCCCAAAATTCCCTAAAAACCCTATGATGACGCAATGTAATGATTTTGTTACTAATAAATGATGTAATTTTCACAGCTAAAAGTGATCAATGACGCAATAATATGATGTACAGCACTTCTTATGATGAATAAAGGTGATTTTTTCCTTGTAAACTAGCTGAAAACCAATTTTTGAGATTACGAATTTTTTCAGATGTGCTCCAATTTTTGATTACTAAAGTGCATCTTGTAGCCCACGTGTTACTGATCATTTCTGACACCTACATGACCTACTTCTGATGAGTGATGCGCAGGATATTGAGTTGTGAAGTTAAGGTTTTGGGTGTTACATGTGACTGGTGACTGTAAATTCGAGATTCCACCAATTCTTTATTTGCCTTATAACTTTTTACACACACCTCCGTTACTAATGAGTTAAAGTTTGTACATTATGTAATCCACTCTTCTGCGTTGAATGAGACATCTACCAACCTATTCTGACGTCATTTGACATATGTAATTAGCTGAAAACCTCCATTTTCCACAAATTTCACCCATTTTCTTCACTTTTCACAGCTACTACTCTCTTTTTCTTGCTCATGTAATATGACATCATCATCTATAACCTTAAAAATCCCGGAAAATCCTCTTGGCAACCTTAAATTCCATCACTACCACTATTACACATCCAAACTACACGTGTACCTCTTGTTTACCAACTTCAAAAAAGTACCTTTTCCCTAATAACTTTTGTTTCTGCTTATCAACCTTGAAGATTAAAATTGTCATAGTATAATATAATGTTGTTCTTTCATATTCTAACCTCATAATACCCATAACTTTATTTTTACTAACCTAAAAACCATTTTCCAACTTTTATACCTATATTTTCGAATTTTTCTTATGTTTTTCTTTCTTTCTTTTTGTAATAAGTTTGTAAGTAAACTATAATGATCTTATGTATAATGTGAAATAAAAATGATGTAATGTTGACCTAATGACCAATACATAAGCCTACAAGAGCTTCAATTGATCAAAAACCTCCATTTTGAATTTTCTTTCCTGCTGAATCCTGCTGATAAACTGGTAAACTGGTAATTGTGAATTTTTTAATTGATCCCATAAATTGTTCACCACAGCGTAAAATTCCATATGAGCCACCTCAGATTGAATTTTACACCCATTCGTTGCCACCAATTTCAAAAATTACACCTTTGCTTTACACCCAAAGAGAAAAGCTGAGTGTACAGTTGAAATTTCATGGTTGATAATCCATTTCAAAGGACAGGTTGCTTTCAACTTGTCCTTTGATGCTTTTTCAAAAGCACAAGGTGCTTTTCCTTGAAGCACTATATAATGGGTTACGAGATTTTTACACTCAATAATAAGGGGGCTCAAGTCAAAAATTCTGCGGCCTTTTCTTAAAAAATCAGGGAAAGTTTTTTACAGTACCATGCTGTAAAAACTTTTCCCAATTCGTAAAAACAGACTGTAAAATTTCTTTCGGATCTCCTTCTGAGCAGAAAATTTGCGCAAATTTGCGTAAATTTACTGCTCAAAAAAGTTTTTTACAATAGGGGGTTTCAAGTCAGAAATATTTTGTGAAACTTGTTAAAAAACGGACAAGTTTTTTAACTTTTACGGTGGGTTTTTTTTCTGCAAATATGCGGTCAACACCATTCGGGACACCTAAAAAGGTGTCCCGATTTTTTTAAATTTACGGTATATTTTGCAACATCGGACAACTTGTTGGACTGTAAAATACCGTAAATTTATTGACTTGAAACCCCCTAATAAAAGTAGTAAAAAATTTTGACTTGAGCCCCCCTAATGAGTGTAAAAGTGTAGATTACATGGGTGTAAATGCATTTTTACACTCAATCCGGCCAAATTCCTGGAGTGCAAAGATTTTGTATGTAAATGGTTGTGTGTAAAAGTGTAGGGTGGCTCCATCTACCTACAATCTTACACTCATTATTTTTACACTTGATATGTAGTGTAAAAAAATACAGTGTAAAAATTGCTATAGACCCTAAATGTCTAATTTTACACTCAATATGGAGTGTAAAGTTGAGGAGTGCAAATATGTAAGCACACGTGCCATGCTTATAATTTTACGCTCATCAAAGCAACTTTGTGACACCGTGTCCGTGTAGGGTTTGCTTGTCGGCAAGTGCACACCGACTCCCTTTGAGGCAGAAAGAGAAGTCGTGCGCGCTCGTCGACAAGCGAATGCTACCCGGACACGGTGGTGACTTAGCGGAAAAACTGCACGTATCTGCAATTTATCTCAAAGTCTCTCAAATGTGTCTGTCTCCTCACACATATTTGGAATTGGTTCAAATTCTTTCAAGTGTGTTTGTCTCCCCAGTGCAAGGAAGGTATTTATCCACAGCAGGTATTTAAGTATATAAGTCATTGTTGCAATACTTTTGCGTTTGTAAACAACTGTTATCTAATTGATGATTGTCTAATTACTTGTTCAATAAGTCCACTCATTGACAATAGCTATTGTGCTTTTCCCTTTGGATGTAAAAGGAAGGTGTAATTTTCTACGTTGGTGGAAACAAATAGGTGTAAAATTCGATCTGAGGTGGCTCATATGGAATTTTACACATCAAAAATTTGACACTCATTATATGATGGAAAGAATATGAGTGTAAAATTCAATATTAGGGGGGCTCAAGTCAAAATATTTTACTACTTTTATTGTAAAATTTTGTTCCCAATTGCATAAAATTTACGCAAAATTTTATGCAATCGGGGAAAGTTATACAACATCCCAAATTTTTTAAGCAGCAAATTTACACAAATTTGCGTAAATCTGCTGCTCAGAAGGAGATCTGAAAGAAATTTTTACGGTCCTTTTTTACGAATTGGGAAAAGTTTTTACAGCACGGTACCATAAAAAACTTTCCCCAATTTTTTAAGAAAAGGCCGCAAATTTTTTGACTTGAGCCCCCTTATTGCTGGGCTCAGGATGCAATTTTCCACCCTTGTTTTTCCACCTCTTGTTTTCCACTCACAAGAAAAAATGGAAAAAAGGTGGAAAATTGCATATGACCCCCAGGGTATGCAATTTTCCACTCACCAGTTTTTTACACCACAAAACGGGTGGAAAGAAAAGGGTGGAAAAATACAGGTTCCCCTTTTATAAGGCCATCTATCTGAACCGAGATAGTTCCAATCCCGGCACTTAATGGCATACCTTCACCGGCGGTACTATTGACAATATAAGCTAAATGTAAGTCGACTTTTGAAATGATATCGCATCATTTTCAACTCGCGTCTACGAAGACAATGTTGGACAATTAGATCCTGCCAGCAGAAAACTTTTTTTGTTGCCCATTGGAACACTTCCCAATATGGCACTTGGAGAAGCTGTTGTGACCGCTTGCTTGCCAACTTGGCCAATCGATTGCAATCAATAAAAATGATTCAGTCAGGCCAAAAACGCCTAATATTGACTATCTATGTATCGCGCTCACCCTGGACCCCCACCAGCGATTTGCACAAAAGATTCCACTTCACTGACTTCGACCCTCAGTTTCTCCAAAGATTCTCATACTATCTTGTCCGTCAATAAAAATGACCCAAGTTGCACAATTGTTGATTGCATGCAAATTCAAGTGTAACGCATGAAGTGAAGTACAATCAACACAATCAACAAAGGAAGATTGAACCAGAGGTAAAAGGTGAAAGTGGGCAGATCTTATCCGCACACGTTTCAAGAATTATTAACATTCAAAATAAGTTCTTTTGATGCAAGTCCATATCATACATCAAGAAACTGTTTTTGAGCATCACATTTGAGCATCACATGGCTGAGTATTCAATTGTCTCCATAACTCAGCTTTTTCATCATCAATTGAAGTGTTTTGTCCTACTTCGGCCATCAAACACTAAGATGCTTTTCACCACTTCAGAGCGGGAGATTCAATACGTTTCTACATTATCTATTAACTAAACACACCAAACCAATTGCAAATCAATTACAAACCGATTACACACAGATGCAGTTTTCTTTTGAAACTCGATCAAGATTTTCACAAAACTCAAGTAAAACAAAACAAGATTTAAAGTATTACAAAGACCTTTCACAATCATTTACCAGGATTAACACAAGTAGCAGGAACCAATGATATCATACAGCCTACAATATCGTCTTTATCTTCCGGTTTATCGCCACAGAGTCCAGGCTGTGGCTTGAAGCCTTTTGGAAGGATCTCTACCTCCCCTTTTGAACAGACAATTGCACTGCCTTTGCATGAAAGTGTAGCATCTTTTGCTTTACATGAAATACCTGTTAATCCTTTCGGCACGTTACCATTTGTACATGCCAAGGTAGCCACTTTTTGAAAACTATTATTGGTTGCTACCTTCTTGTCTGGCTTTGTTTCGGCGGCAAATATTCCAGAATGGAGCGCGAGGAAAAATATGATCACAAAATATTGCCTGTTATTTGAAAAATATAAAAAAAAATCGTTTAGTCAGTTGGTAAGCTTGAACATGGAATTCCGTCGAAAAAAGAGTGTAGTGGGTTTGTATTCTTGATAGTGGAGCACATACTTACTTCATTTGAGAAAAGTTTCTCGAAAGTCCTTGAGTGCAATTGAATGAGCTGTAGGCTTAGGTGCGGGGAGCGAAATCGATATCTTCAGGCAAAGTTGCTATACAGGAGCCAAAGAAGAGGGATGTGTGGTCCGTTGTTTGATATGCTGTGGTCTTTTGGTGGACTCAAAGACGAAGTGTCAATTTCCAGAAGTGACGCTATGGAGCCTGGAGTATTATGAGGAGCTATTTGATGAACAAAAAATATCGAAATGACTCAATGAGGATAATCCTGCCTGGAATGTATGTTATAGATCAGACAATCACACAGCAGACTTCCCTTTTATGTTGTGGTGAAGCCATTTTTATAGAAATCCATCTCAATCCGGCTGCTAGGGTGCGAAGGCTCGTGCCAGGATGACTCGTCTCGGTCTCGTGCCTTTCTGTGAGGGAGGCATGTTGTCGCTCTTTAACTGGAGAGGCAACTCGGGTGGCCTGGCGATTCGTCTTTCTCCTCGCCAACGAGTGATTGCCATCGAAGAACGTAAACTTGGTTTCGGTCAGCTGCTTACACCGGTTTAGCATGCGGAGTTGGCATCTGAGTCTGGGGCGATGAGGTCACCTCATTTCATCAACAGCTTCATTGGCTCGAAACACGCGATCACGGTTGAAGGTTTGGATGAGTGCAGTCGATGATGTGCTACCTTGACGACAATGCCCCGGTTGCTTGGGTTTTGGCAGAAGACCGCTATTTGAAGCACGATCCACACAAGTACAGACGCCGGCATCTGTTGACATTAAGTTCATTCGGTTAACAAGACATTGGGCGACCGCAACCCTGCTTTGGTCGAGGGGTCAGAACGACAAGCTTGTTCCGAATGTCACATAGCTCATGAGGAGGTGTTGGGCAGAGGCTCCCGGATACATCCCAGTCAACATATGCTCAATAGACGAAGCAAATAGTGGTAGCGAGTATTAGAGAAATGAAATGAGAAATAGAAGAAATGAAGAGACAAGCGGAGAGAATCCTAAATTTTAAAAACAAGTTAAGTTGTCTGCTCTACGGGTCGAGTAATCTTACCTTTTCCTTTTTTCCAGCTTTACGCTGCACGCGTCTTGCTCCCACGTGTCCTATTTCACTCCTTGGGTTCATTTGCTTTTCACTATTGCTTTTGAGTTTGGCGACTTGGACCATAGCAGCTCTCCACCGTTTTTAACCAAATCTCGATGGCAATTTGATTTTTGTGACGGGGAGGGCTGGGTTTCCCTTTCAGCCCGATTGTGGGTATGTAATTTAGGTTAAGGGAAACCTGTGATGAATTATCGTCCGATCTGTATATCTTGATTGAGGTACATAGCTTGAGTGTGGAGTTTGATACAAACTGCGACCGGTTTCCTCTTCCCAACTCCAACAGCCCGCCTTCGTCGCATTTACTTGACCCGATTTTGATTCATAACGTCGACCGCTTCATCATCGAAAGTAGCGCCTCCCTCTCGATTCTTACAACACTCAAAGAATGTCGCTTGCTCTATCTTTCTCTTTAGCTCAATTGACGCTTCTCGGTCAGGCTGCTCTGTTACATCCCGCGTGTCGGACCAGCTACCATGCGCGACTGCTCCGTCTGGGTCTCATACCCCTCGCATTCGGCTTACTGGCCTCATTTGCCATGCGAAGGCGTGCTCAATCAACGTCCCCACTGGATAGCGCAGCGAATATCTTTATTGGTCCAATGATCGCTGTAACCGCCCTGCGAAGTTTGATTTGGGGGACAAGTTCCAAACCATACCATCGATTGAAAGACTCCGAAGCGCGGGGTTCACTTTTGGATAAATTAGCCTTTGGACTTTCACTTCTTTCTAGTCCGAGAGGAATCGGTTGGTCTTTCGGGGTTCCTCTACAACCTGTCAATCAAACCAGAACGGACTTCTTTCGAGATACATTGAAAAGACTTTCAAGCGATTTATGCATCTTTACAAGCTCAGTCGCCATCTTAGCCATCATTGACATCAGTCCATATGCAACTACACCAATCTTTCGATATCTCATGACCTTCTTTTCCGGTACGCTTGCTTGGACCATGCTTGATAGCGCTGGATGTTTTGCCCGACTAGTAGCCCTCTTATTCGGACTTGATCTGGCCGAATATACTTTCTGGCTTGATTCTCCAATCCGATCGACGAACCTTGCAGATTTTTGGTCAAGAAGATGGCATAGCGTCTTGAAACACGTGTTTGTGGAAGGGGGAGCCAAACCGTGTGAAGCAATAGTTCAAAAGTTGTTAGGCAATGGTGTTCTCAGTCGATCAGCAGCATTAATTGGTGCTTTCACAATCTCAGGATTGATCCACGAGTTTGGTCTCTGGTTTGCTACTCAACCGGATCTTTCATTTCGAACTACGAGTTTCTTCGTGAGTCAAGGATTAGGAGTGGTACTTGAATCTACATTTTCTAAATTGACTGGCCGCCGTGTAGGTGGTTGGCTTGGTAGAATTTGGATGTTACTATGGTTGGTAGCTTGGGGTAGATTGATGATTGATTCTTGGCTAGACCAAGGTGTGGTGGATAGTAGCTTAATGAAAGCATATCTTTCAGAGCATGGATATTTTTGAATTGCTGTTTACTTTTCCCTTATTGATTGTGTTGTAAACTTTCCCTCATGGATTGTGATCGAATATCAGTCATAGAGTATTCACTTGCATAATTGTCTAAATATTTGGATGATATATAACTGGCCCACTTGGCATCTTGCTGAGATCTAGAGCACGGTATCATTCTAGGTCCAAGCATCTTATTTTTCAAGCTCACAATGGTTAGGTTAGCTTGAGGTTCAATCAGGAAACCAAGACTCTGATTAAATGGTTTCAATCTGAAAGATCTTCAGGGCCATCTTAAATTGAATCAGTTCTGTAACTACACCTACCTGTACAAAATTATGTTGCTTCTGGATTGTATCACTTTCTTTGCCTGTGATCTACAATTACAAATCAATTGGAATGCTTTAAGTCTTGTGGCATAACATTAGAAGAGCAGCATTGTGATTACATGACATTGAGAAAAGCTATATATCATTATTGCATGTATGTGTACTTTGATTAATCAGCATCAAATGGCAACCTTCACCTCCTCTAGTTTTACATTTGATGCTGATTTGTAAAACTATTGGAGGTGAATGTCACCTCCCCAAAAAGCAGTTGGTCTGGGCTCTGGACAGGTTCCTTGCTAACAGCCTTTCAAGAGCTGTGATTGCACTGCTGGCAAAGGTACCTTTGATATTGATTCCCTTGGATTGAAAGAGCCAAGGTATCCTTGGACACAGCTTCCAAGTAATTGATCCAAGGCAATCTTTAGGGTCAAGGAAAGCCTTGGATCAATTTATTGGACACACAGTCCAAAAATACCTTGGATTTCCAATGCAAGACATTTTTGTTGGCAATACTAGGTCAAGAATGGATGGGTGGGATGCAAGTTGGATGATTGGAAGATCACCAGGTTTAGCTGTCTTTGCATGCCATAAGGTCAGGAGTGCTACCTTCTTCTCACCAACTCCTTCAACATTTAGATTGCCCAAGGTTAACATCCACTAGTGATTTTTCTGACACACATCATTCCCCAGAAGGCCACTAGCACAGCTGTCACAATCATCTCCTCAACATCAGTTCTTCTGGCAAAGTCACACACAAGACCAATGGCTCTTGTAACATGATGGGGATTTTTTCGCTTTTATGATCCTCTGATCCCACATTGTTTGTGCCTAGAGTGATCTGGTCTTTGGATATTTCTGTTGCCCATATGAAGGCATTGAGTACTTTTTGATCTAGATTGGGATGAGTGAGTTTGGTTGCCATCTTCCACGTATGTAAACCCACTAGGTACTTCACAATTGTCTTAAATTTGATGAGTTTTTGTGCTGATGTTTCTTTCTCAATTTTGAAATGACCTGCCCATGCTATGAAACTGTAGATGTTGACTGATCTTACCAGGATAGCATTCTCACAATTTTTCCCTTGGTGTTTGATATACTCCTTGAGATTTGCCACTGCGCTCATGTATCCTTGAAAAGGTGACATTTCCCAAGCTCCCCCACTGTATGGCCCTCCATCTTCCTAGTTTTAGTATACTCAATTCCATTTACCACTTGTTCAAAGCTGGTTCTTCCCCTGTTTGTGTTAGGTTTTGACATTGCAATACTGTGAAATGTTAAACGGAAAAGATTAGGTGATATTTTGATTTGTAAACAACCAGAGCATTCTCTACCTGCTCTATACCTCTGGACAAGGATTTAGTGTTTTTGCCTAGTGAGTCTAGTTGCTTTTCTTCTAAGTTGCAATATAATTCCACCAATCTCCTTTGTATGATCCTTCATTCCTTATTTACTGCTACATGTTTTGATTGGAAGTTTCAAAATACCCCCTCTGTGGTGGTGTCCATCAGGTACACTTGCTGTCTCCCTTTCGTGTTGTGATTATTTGCAACCATTTCAAGGCCTAGCCGTACTGCAATGTTTAAAGTCAAGGCAATGTTGGGCTTCAAATCCAATGCCTCTGTGACATTCCAGTCTTTCTTCAGTTTCCGCTGGACCCGGTTGATTGCTAGAAGGAGGCCCATTCCAATAGTAATCACAGCATCTCCCAGCTACCAACCACAATGTCTGTTTTGGTGCAGCACATCAACACACACCATAGATGTCAGCCCTGAGCCCTGATTACACGACCACGGGCTAACAGTAACATATTATATTATTGTATAAATCCATAAGTACATCTCACGGCTCAGTGTCAAGAGGCACATAAACACATGTACATAATGTATTAAATATGTAGCAAACCTAACCCAAGCGCCAACCACAAGTGAGACAAGAATCACACGCCAACCACAAGTTGACGCTTGGCCTGTGAATATATAAACCCCCCTTCTTCCCTTGATTCATCCACCATCTTTTACACACCACAACATCAGAATCACATTATACTTGAAATCCTATATAGAGGATCCTCGAGTACGTGATTAGTTGTGTAGTCTAAAGACCAAGCTTGAGCATCACGGGTTCTATTGCTGAGCACCCCGGTATTGATTTCTACGAGCCTTGGGCCATTGTATTCTCTAGAAATAAACCGTAAAGCAGCAAAGCTTCCTCCCTTATACGGAGTCTAAAGTAGCCTTCAGGATCTTTGGTTCACCAAAGTGTAAAGCCTGCCCCTCGCAGTCTCACGATGTTAGAGCTTACTAGCTCTTTACCGCCCTTAATCTCTTTATCTCTCCCTCAAATCCTCTTCTTAGAGGTCAACTAGCTGTAGTCTTCACTTGGGTGTACCACGTGAAGACCACACTTTACTTCCCTTATCACCTTCTTAGTGAAGAGTACGCCTAACAGACGCGCACTCCTCACAACTTGGGGGCCTCATCCGTGTTTTGTTCCTCAATCATCCTAGAAGATAAGACCAATTATCTCTATTCTAATCATCTATTTTCTTTCCCAATAATACAAAAGTCAAATAAAAAAATTAGGATTCTTTTTCATCCTGATTTGATTAATATCAGTAGTGCGCATCACCATTAGATTGCAGGATTGTGATTTTATTCATTTAAGATCACAATTTTCTCCTCTGTTTGTTTTGTTGAGATCACATTCCTCAGAAAAAAGGAGGTGACCTTTTTTTTGTTTTTATTTAGCTCTTCTTTTCAAATTCAAATTTTAAATTACTTCACACCCCATTTTGGGTTTGAGTAACAAGTGTAATATCCACAAATTACATTTAGTGATTGTTCCATAAAGAAAGTAGTACACAACCACATATAGATAATTCTATATCACTGTACTTAAGGAGTCTGCAGAAAGTCACAATAACAGTGTGATCTGAATTACATTTCTTACCACGCTAAAATATTGAAAAACACGTGTGATAATTTACATACGCCAGTAAAAGCACTTATTGTGTGAAGTACACACACGAAGGTTTTTCGAGTTAGACATATAGAACTGTCATAGATTGACAGGTAGTCCACCTGTCAAATAGGTGAGCTTTTCATTAAGAACCGGGTAGTTTACCTGCTTCAGGTTGCAGACTTAGAGCATCCACAACGGTCCACCTACTTTGCGAGCCCTGGAACAGACCCCCGATCCTGATTTTGTGGATGTAGGGGGTCAAAAAAACAGGTGTCCACAGCGGTGCACTTGAAGTCAGGGGCCAGAACTCGATTGAGTGATATGGTATGCTTGTACCATATCATCTTGTTTCGAGTGCGGTTTGAGACGTGACTATATCGGTCACGTGGAAGCAGTGGCACGTGATATTGGGAGCTCCTATAGACCTCGCAGATGTGGGGGGTCCGGATGGAAATCTGGAGGCCCCCGACGTCTCACCCCCGATTGTGCGAGCTCCGTTGGAGCGTTTTTTTGCGTTTTGACCCCCTACATCGCTGGGGGCCCGCAAAGTAGGTGGACCGTTGTGGATGCTCTAACCCTTTCTCCACTCGAACACAACCCCATCGGTTGATCAACCGATACAACAACACCCAACAATAACGAGGCTGTGGAAAACTCATTATAACCACCTTTGAACTCTGAGAAAAGAAAATTGTGAAACAGTTTTAGTAAGTAAGTGTTGACTCACTAAAGTATTATTCTCTGATAATTGAAAAGCTAACAGCGAGTACTCTTCTTTTCCCACTCTTTTTGAGAGTTGTTTTTATTTTTTTGTTTTAGGGACCTTATCGCAGGCACCCTACTTTCTGATTTGAAGGTATAAAAAGCCATCAAAATTTTCAGCATTAGTCTCCCTAGGCAACTTTGATTCGTTCCACTCATATCCAATTACCTGATCTAGAAACTAAGGCTTGTTCAGTTTTATCGGATTTTATTTCATCTTGTTTTGTCATTGAAGACTTGTGTAGATCATTGATCTAATTTCATTTTTTTTCTTTATTTTTCTTCTTTTAGGTGCTTTCCTATATCGCGACAGACCAACTCTAACCAAGTACTACAATCAGAACAAGTAACAAGTCAGTTACTTGTTTTTCTATATCTGTCGACTCACGAGTTGTATACTTGATTTTTTTTTGATTCTGATTGAATTTTTTTTTACTCTTTCTTTTGTTTTAAGTGTCTTTTATAGAAAACAACCAACAGCAAGACTCTTTACAAGATTTGGTCGATCGAATTCACGATATCGACTCGGAAGCTGCCAAATATTCACCTATTAGTACTGTTCACTCACCAACTAGTACCCCAGCGATCGAAGGACACTCACGTTCTATCGACGGAAGATCCATCGTATCCGAACCTACTCCATTACCTCGTAGATACGAACCAGAGGACAGCTTCGCACCACCAGCCAGCTACATAGACGCCTACTTACAAATACCTGCTCATATTCAAATACCAGACCCAAGTAGTGAGTCGAAGCGTTTGAATTTTGTTTTGTTTATTATAAGTTTTTTTTTTTAATATATTGTTATCATGTCATCACGACCGATAACTCGTAGTGAATCACAACGACGAGCCCAAACAACAAGACCAGCAAGCGAATCCGGCAATGGTACTGGACCACGACCGACCGATCGATCAAGTGAACCGCTTGGTCACGGAAGTCGAAGTAGGACATCAACAAGAGGTAAGCCATATAGGCCTATGACCTCTACCCCTCGATCCCTTGCTGACTTGACCTTTGTAGGTCCAGTACCAGCACCCTCAAGTGCTAGTACAGCCCCAAGCGGTCCATCCGGACATCGTGTTCCAATGGAACGCCTTGAAGGCTCAGTACCAACACCACCGGCGCTCCGCCCGAGATAGCGGCAGCGGAGCGATAGCGGAGCGCCCGCTCCGCCTGCACTATGGGTTTGGCCAGATAGCGGGTCCTGACCCCTGCTATAGCTATGGCCCCGCCCCCTATTGACATAGCGGTTTGGACTTCCGCAGTCCATAGCGCAATTCCGCAGCGCTATGTGGTGACACAGCGCCCACGAGCGCCTGGCGCCCCGGGGCCCCATAGCGACCCATAGCGCACAGAGTGTCTCATCATTCATGGAGGACTTGGTTCAATCATCCACCTAAAAATCTCATAACTAAACAACAGTGAACCCGACGAATACACCATCCAATTTGAATTGTCCATCACCTCAAAAGGGACCCTCACTATCAACACCCACAAACCCACCGATATCTCTGCCAGATACGAATGAAAGCCCATCACCAACCCATTGATTCCAAGGATTCCAACACAAACTCTCACAAGGCGGGACAGAAAACAATCCGGATCCGACCCTATTTGTTCCACCAAGATTGATAGTAGAAGTATAACCGATAGAAGAATTGGTTGGGACCTTTGAATTTGATCATTTCTTAGATTAAATGTGTTGGGGACAATCTGAACCAATTGCACAATAATCAAGATCGATTTTGAAGGTTCTAATAAACAAAGTTCAATTGAAAATGGATTATCTAATATTACTTGCCAAGTTAGAGTAGTTAATCATTTTCTAGATGTAAGTTTGTGATTTGATTTGATTTGATTGAAATTCATAGAAATCAAAATAAAACTTCAATGTATCATCTTGACTAACTCAATTGGTTTTTCAGATTGTGAACTTTTCTTCTTTCTTTCGAATGTTGAAAAAATTGATTAGTATTAAGATGAGAGAGATCAAAGGAGGTCCTTGGGATCCAAGAATATGTAGTGACGGAGAGTTCGATCATGCAATAGAAGCCATGGAAAGACGTATGATGAACAGAGCATGGCATCTGTAAGTAACTTCCATCAAATCTCTTCCCCGACAAAGCTGATTTGGTCTCCTAAATATAGAACATATACACCATCCTTACAGAATGATATCCGACCATCAGTCACAGTCGATTTAGAAAGAGATGAAGGTTTAAGTCAAAAGTTCAATTTGTTTATTGGATAAACGATTTACATTTAGATTTGAGATTAGAAAGGATGATTCAGATGGGTTTTCAGAATTTGCTAACACTGAATTACTTAAAATCAACAATTATAACGCACCAAGAGATAAGATGATCTGTATTTTAAATTGTAGTAAAGTTATCTTTGGTATGTTTGTTTTTTTCAATTTCTTTTTTGGGGGTAATTTGGATCCTATTTTTTTGGTTTTTCTCTTGTTTTACAAAACCAAAAGGATTGATTAGACATGTTTCCAAAAGCGAAGAAGATCAGGTTTGAGAAATTGAAAAGGGCAGAATATGAAGCTACGCTTGATGCACTTTGTTTGATCTTTAATGAACTCAAAAGAGAAGTACTGGAAGTGGTCTTGGGCACTCATCATGGTCAATGAAGTATAGCTATTGATTTGAGTTTGGAAATGAGTCGAAAGAAGAAACATCCAGATGGTTGAGATGTGGTTTGGATGATTATGACGATGATTGAGAATGTGAAGTGTTTAGAAGATTTTTAGAATTGACTTGTTTTTTTTTCTGGATTTGAGCATCATGGATTTAGTGAAGTTTTGAAAAATAACAAAGAAATGTTATGCTTGAATTTTTGATTTTCTGGTTGATAATTGTTTGTAGTGTTTTCTTTTTGCCCATGTCAGATTGTTGAATCCCCACTCTGCCGTGCACCATCACACATGTTAGTAATGAAAAATGGGTAAAAAAACTACTCAGACCGCGCTTTTGGGCGCTAACTATCACAAGATTTTGTCATAGCGGAGCGGAGCGAGTTTAAAAGCCGCACCGCTCTTAAGTTTCATAGCGCCTCCAAAATTATAGCGGAGCAATCAGCCTTTTCTTATAGCGCCAAAACGCTCCGCTCGTGAAATTTGTGGATATAGCGCAGCGGAGCGGAGCACCGGTGGTGTTGTCAGTACGAGCGCTGGGAGGGAGCGAGAGCTCTCGGGATCGATCACCCGGACGGCAGATCGATCTGCACCAGCTCAGTCTACGAGAGCAGGAAAGTATGGAACGTACTTACCAACAAGTACCATTACCCCGAGGCTCTGATCGTCCAAGAGATTGGCAAGTGGCTTCGAGCGGGTACTCAAAGCTGGCGTCCACACTGGCTGGACCCAAACAGCTTTCAAGAGCTAACTCATCAAGAGAAAGAAGCCCGAGTGAGTCATTTCAACAAGCGCCCTCGATCCAATCATTTCCAACGCAACGTGCGTCGCCGATCGAACATCTCGGACTCAGACGCGGTGGTGAGGGCTCAAATCGCTATGGGCAAGTTCCTAGCAAAGAGAGATGGGCCCAGCAACCATCATCATCATCATTAAATACTAATGATGCTAGCCTTGTAAGTAAGTTTACATCTGTTATTGAGAATCATTTAGTGCAACCATGGACTAATTTGATTAATGATCATCTCAGTCAATTATCCAGTGAGACACACAAGGATGCTGAGGTAATCCAGTACTATCATGATTGTTTAGATACTATCAATAAGAATTGTAAGGAGTTGTATAAGCGTGTAGGCCCTGAGATAAAGGATCTTGGAAAAATTATGATTGATCTTTTAACACACTTAGAAATGCAACATGTTTCTTCTGTTCAAGAAAATGAGAATAGACACAGTGAGCTTTTAGATTTGTTGAGACTTCAAAATGTGAGCCTAGACAATCAATCAATAAGAGAACTTGGTGAAGTATTGAGTAATAAAATTGAAAGTAAGATTGATATGAGACTAGATCAGATTTTTGAGACAAAGAAAGGAATCAAGATTCCTGATAATAATGATATTGATAATATTATTGAAAGGAAACTCGAAGAGAAGCTAGATTCTCAGTTTAATAAGTTTTTTGACCGGATTAGTGAGAAGATGGAATCCGGCATCAGTAACACTGATTTGGTCGAGCAAAACCTGCAATCAGAAAAAATCTTACACTCCAGATTAGATATTTTGGAACAGTACCTGAAAGAAATGAATGAAGATGGAAAGATTCAGTGAGAAAAAATTCTCACGGAGGTATTGATAATTAAAAATAGTGTTAAGTCAATCCCGAAAGGAGAGAGATTTACCGACAACAGTCCCGTAAAATTAGATTCAGGAAGAACTAGCCTCCTGAAAAGAGACGTAGAAGGCAATAGTGAACCAGCAGGGACCTCTCAAGAATATAATGTGCAACAAATGCTTAGTGGGATCAAAGAACAGATTTACGCACTTGAGCAGAGTAATCACAAACAAAATTTGCCGGCTAAACAAGACAGTGAATCAGCAGAGTATCAAGCGAGCTTGAAGAAAGACCTGCGGAAAGAATACCCGCAGCCTAAAGATTGGCCCACCTTTGACGGTGAAGGGGAATACAACCACCAGGAATTCATTGACTGGGTAGATAGAATGTCAAGTAAGCTGCGCATGCCCGATGAGCTTATTATTGCAAAATTAGGGATTGTATTCCAAGGAGTAGCCAGACAATGGTTTATAGACTTCTCAAAAGAGGATGATTTACAAACATGGGCAGAATGGAAGATTGCCATTCAAGAAAGGTTTGGAAACCAAGCTTGGAAGAACCGCATGCAAAAATTGTATTTGTCTGATACATTTGTACTTAGACCAAATACAGATTGTGTCAAATGGGCAAGTAAGCAGAAACAACGAGTTCAAGCTTTCCAACCTAATATTACACAAGAAGAGCTTGTTGAGAAAATTACATGGCAACTACCAGGCACCATACGTATATGGGTCAGTAGTAAAATGCGAGAGCCGGCAAGATGGACAGATTTCTTGCTAGTATTTGAAGATATATGTAGGAACATGTTGGATAGAAGGACTAATCAACAAACTAACCCAAGGAGGATTTTTGCGCCAAGACAAGCTGAGCCAGCTGTTGCTTCAGGTAGTAAGGACAGACCCGTACCAAGCAATATAGAAAAACGGAATAATAAGGCTTGTCATGGTTGCGGAAGCACGGATCCAACACATGTGTGGAAAACCTGTAAAGGTAAAAGTAAGGCTGTGAACCAAGTCGAGATGGAAGAAACTAATGACCAAGACGTAGAGCCGGTCAGTATGGACTTTGTCGAATATGCAGAATCTGAAGAGGAGGATCTGTTTGGCAAGAAAGAAGAAGGTTTAGTTGATGTCATTGAGAGCAACTTTTGCACAGATGTGGACATTGAGCAGCTTCAAGCAGATGCTGATGTGCCAACACTAGGGCATAGTAAAGATGGTGTACAACATATCACTGACGCAAAACTGTTGAAATCAAAGCCGTCTTTGGGAAAAGCGCATACGCTAGGATTTCATAGTCTTACCCGAGTAATTGTGGAAGGAACTGATGCAGAGATGCTACTTGACAGTGGAGCATCTTGCTCAGTGGTGGGGAGTTCATATTTGACAACTATTGTCCCCAAATGGAGGCTCAAATTGATGCCTTGTAATGATAACATGAAATTTTCGGGTTGTGGCGGAAGTTTATTTCCTTTAGGTGTTATCAATCTGAAAGCAGTTTTTCCGCATAAGCAAGGTGGTGTGAGAATAGATGCAGAGTTTGTAGTAATGGAAAATTCTCATACAAAGTACTTTATACTAGGGGATGACTACCTAGGAGCGTACGGCATTGACATTTTTCACAGTCGAGAAAAATACTTTACAATAGGTAATGATGTAAGGAAGAAGAAATTTGCGTTACCACTTCAGAGACCAATCTTATCTGGCCTTAGAGTGAGTCATGATCAGCCAGAAGTTGAACAGGTAGCATCAAACCCCGTGCTGAAACAGAAAATTGAAGAGGGTTTGAAAGAAGCAACATTCTGTCCAAAACTGAGTGACGCACAAAGAAATAAATTTGTTGAGTTCATCATCCAACATGCAGAAGAGTTTGGTTTAGGGAATTCACCATTGGGTGAAATTAAGAATCATCTGGTACATATACAACTCAATATTGATAAGCCATATCCTCCTATTTTGAGGAAAGCAGCATATCCAGCTAGCCCGCGGAATAGGGTAGAAATTGAAAAACACTTGGATGAATTGCTGAAACTCGGAGTTATCAGAAAGGTAGGTGAGGATGAAGAAGTAGACATCACCACACCCATTATCATTGCATGGCATAATGGTAAATCTCGTTTATGTGGAGATTTTAGAGCGTTGAATACATACACAGTTCCGGACAGATACCCATTACCTAGAATTGAGTATGCGTTGACCAATCTTGGTAAAGCAATATATATCACTGTTATGGACATAATGAAAGGTTTGCATCAGAATATTGTAGCATTAGATAGTAGACAATTCTTAAGGATAATTTGTCATTTAGGTATATTTGAATATTTGAGGATGCCTTTTGGTATCAAGAATGCACCAGCCTTTTTCCAAAGAATGATGGATTTAGAGTTCTCTCAAGAATTGCGAGAAGGATGGGTGATAATATACATAGATGACATTATTGTCTTTCACACAAACTGGGAAGATCATGTCCGTGGCATTGAGCGGATCCTTCAGAAAGTTAAGAAAATGGGAATGACAATATCTCTTAAGAAGAGCCATTTTGGGTTTGACAGTGTCAAAGCTTTAGGCCATTTGGTATCAGGCTTATGGATTGCAATTGATCAAAATAGAGTCTCCGCAGTATTAGACAAACCATGCCCAAAGAATGTCAGTGAACTTCAGACATTTTTGGGCTTTGCAAGTTATTATCGAAATTATTTGAAAGACTACGGTAAAATCTCCAGTTGTTTGTATAAACTGTTTGGCAAAGGTGTAGCTTTTGAGATGACAAAGGAGAGAGTTGAAGTTTGGTCAAGCATTAAGAAAATGATCACCAGCGCTCCACTTCTACTTCAACCAGATTTTAGTCAACCTTTCAAACTTTATGTTGATGCCTCTTTTGACGGTTTAGGAGCGGCTTTGCATCAATCTAGAATTGTAGATGGGAAGATGCAAGAAGGACCAATAGTCTTTATTTCCAGGAAGTTGAAAGACAGTGAGACAAGATATGGATCTCCCCAACTGGAAGCTCTGGGTTTAGTATGGGCATTGGAAAAGCTCCATTACTATCTGGATGGTGTGTACTTTGAAGTCATCACAGACTGTACAGGTGTTCGGTCTTTAATGAATATAAAGACACCTAATAGACACATGCTTAGATGGATGTTGGCGATCCAAGAGTATCAACCCTACATGACGATTACACATAGACCAGGGAAAATGCACAACAATGCAGATGGCCTGAGTAGGATGGCCTTGCCAAATGATGACTCCAATCCAGCATGGGAGCCAGAAGAGGTTGAGTTAGATATCCCCGTGATGGGTCTGAGTTTAGCTGAACTGAGTGATGAATTCTTTGAGGAGATATGTTGGAGAACGAGTTCTCCGGTGTGTATCAAAACCATTAAGGTGGAAAGAACTCAACAGTTCAAGACGAACCGTTTCAAACTGATGGATGATGGGTAATGAGTTGTATGGTGATGTTATAATGCACCTGCACGTGCACGTCCATGCCGAATAGCATTGGGTCAAATGGAGCATTGTATGACCAAATGGGGTTCGATCCCCCCTGCCAAGATGATGCATCATCCTGAGAAGCCTCTTGGGTAATCTCAAAATGGCTAAGTCACACTTTTCCTTAAGGGTGGCTCACTCGTGATGGTATGGTAGAGGAACATACCATACCACCCTTCAAAAAACCATACCACCCTAGGAGATTAACCAACCACCTCAAAACCCAAACCCACCATCCCCTTCGATAAATGCAATCCAAACATACCAGCCAAATATTACACACCACCCCATCTAAACGCTCTACCACCCTATCTAAACGCTCTACCACCCCATCTAAATGCTCTACCACCTCAACACACAATCCCACCATCTTGTTTTTTGGTATCATTTTTTCAATCACACTTAATAACACTCTTCTATCAATCTACACCCGCTACCAAAACAATACCATCAAATAAATTTCCTACGCGGTGTGTAAACTCAGGGTAAATCACTCAATTCTACCTTCACCGATCTACGCCCTCCTAAGTCATGCCACCCATAGTTTCATACGCGTACACTTTTTTCAACCCACCTAGCTTTATGATACCCTCCAGGTCCTACACACCCAGATTGTCTTAGATTTATACCCACCTTTCACACTCCTTACCTACCTGCCCTAACCCCACGCCACTTACCCCAAACTAAACCCACCCCCCGATACCAAGTTTCCCTGCATCCTTCATCATTTCCAACTTGTTCATCCAACACCATTTCCGCACCAACCTTCATGACACCCACAAATCATACCTATCTACAACCTCCACCATTTGACCTTGTTGCTCCCAATATACAGTCGTTTTCAAAAAGCTTGCCGCTAATTCACCGCCAAATTGCTCGAGTTTTGCGGGCAAATTTCGGCAAGCTTTTTGAAAACGACTGTAGGAAAGCTTCAAGAAGCACTCAGTGCTCATGCCGAAGCGAATGGATACAGGATAACTATTCGATCATCAGGGGCAACAAAGTATCAATTTGTCTGCCATCGATCCGGCGCGAAACCCTCCAAAACCTCAAATTCCCAGAAAACCGACTGCCCTTTCGCCCTCACGGCCTCACAGGTTGTCCAACCTAACGTCCCAAGTGAACTCCAGCAGATTGTTCTCAACGCAAACACCCCTCCTGTAGGTAGCTGGTACATATATATCAAAAATCCTAGTCACAATCATGGACCGATGCATCCTAACGTGAGCCTACCTATACCCTACCCACCTCAATCCCCATATAAACTGATTGAGATATCCTTTCTGCCTCACATTTCTCCATAGGTCACCAATAACACATGTGAAAGTGGCGAGAGCTTGACTACTATCCGGCATCGATCCAACCTGGTCAGTCTCATCTCTATTTGTAATACCCAGTCTTGTCTTCAGGCTCATTTGATAACCACTCCTTAGATATCAAACAAGCTGTCTCAGCTTTCGGTTTTTGATCGGTCGCAAGCCCTTGCAGAGATTCATCAAGTCCTCAATAAGTACCAAATCCCCCACCTTCCCGAGTCATCCCAGGACACCTTGGGAAAAGCCAATTTACTGCTGCGACCCAAAGTATCTCAAGCACAAAATATCCCGATCACTGGGACAGAAACCAGAGAGGTAAGCCAAATTTCCATCTTTAAATCTCGGATTACATTTGGAACACCCATTAATAACACTTTAATGGGACAGAACAAAGACATGGCCCTGGTCCAAGTTCTTCCCAAGAACAAGCGGCGAAAGATCAAAACCACAAGTGTGACGCTTCCAGTTCCAGTTCAACACTTTGATCCAGTTCAAGAGTTCGATAACATTCCACAGCTTCCAGCTTCTAAACATGTCGAAGGAACCGACACTGGGCTTCCTAAGCCTCTTCCAGTAATTACTAACTTCGAACTCCACAGTACAGTTACTGAATGTGGCGCTCACCACTTAGAATTCAATCCCACTGCCGCCCAGCCCCAGAAAAAGCGGAAGAAGGTGCGAACCACAACTGCGAAGTTTCCAGTTCCCGACTTGGAATCGGATCCATTTCAAGACTTGGATCACATTCCACAGCTTCCATCATCCCAACACTTCAAAGGAACCGACTCTGTGATAGCCAAATCTCCCAATTTAGATGTTGAAGACTTGAAATTGATGAATACTGCTCAAGGCTCTGGTTGTTCCTCTCAGCTTCCATCACCTGATCAAATCTTTCACACACTACCCGATTCAAACATTCAGACTCTTTCACCTGCCGAATTGGATTGTGATCACGACTTAGACGGTTTGGCTTCCTGCATCTTGTCACCAAATCGAGCAAATCAAGAACAACAGGCAAACCTTCCAGCCAACAACTCAGATCACCCCTTTCCAATTCATCTGCGTAAGACCAACACCATATCCACAAAACCCACGATTTTGCCCCGTTTGGTCGACTACGATTCGGAACCTTCAGTAAGCAAATTTGCATCAACCTGTCATGTTTTCAATCAAGACTGAAGAGATTGTCACAGTTTTCCACCAATGTATCACAGGCTTCACCACCTCTCACACCGCTTAATGATTGCCTACCAGACCCAGTGGTGAGTTGCGATATCATTCTGAACTTGAAGGATTAGGTCAAGTGATTAAATTTAAAATTTAACCCATTAGCTATTACCCACGCAACCTCCCGATTCTCTGACTCAGGAGACAACACCTTTGGTGAGTTGCTCGAAACTTAGAATCATTCAATCAACTGACCTTTCAAAGTAGCTTGCATCCCCAGTGGCGGCTCTAGATGAAGAAGACAAAAGTTTTCAATTGGAAAGCTTGCTACCATCCAGAAATCCTTGTAACACACCTCCTGCTCCTGCTCCTGCTCCGGTTTCTGTTCCTTCTCCTGTGAGTCGCATCCTTCACAGGTCATGTTACTCTCACATCGCTAAGCTAACTTGTATGAATGATTATGTATGTCGATGAAGGTTGCCATCCCTATCACTAGAACTCGATCTGGAGCTGAGGGACGTGTGACTCGGAAACCACCCAGCCCTCTTCGAAGGTCCACCCGGCATAAACTTGACACCTCGTCTGCTGGAACCCGTAGGTATACACGCAATCAAATGGCCAAAAAAGTGTGTACGTGACTTGTGTCCATTCATCGCTTGCCCATTTGAATGATAAATAGACTAAAACTTTGAATGCCCAGGCTGATCAAGTGCCACAGGACGATCGAGTGCCACTTTGGTTGCATGAATACCTACCATCTGTTCAAGACCCACTCAGTGATGGGCATTGCGGTTATCGGGCTATTGCAATGAGTTTGGGGCGAACCGAAGACGACTGGCTCGTGGTTCGAAATGAGCTGATTGCTGAACTGGAGTCTAAGGCAGATTTCTACGAATCTCACCTAAAGACTCGTAAGAGAGGTGATGGAGGTGTTGCTGAGCACGTTGAAGCCATCAAAACTCGCAGGAAAGAAGTTCTCAATGACCCTTCACTGTGGCTTGATTCAGCTCGAATGATGTACATTATTGCAACTGCTTACAACAGGCCATTCTGTGTTTACAGTAAAGGCCACAAAGACGAAAATTTTACAGCCTTTCCTCTGGATTGTCCTGCGAATGATTATTCACCCATCTTTGTTTGTTATGACCGACAAGGCGCTCATTTTATGTCTATCTCATTTTCGTCTCCTCTCTTCACTATCCCCATCCCTCAACCATGGACAGAATGGTACAATCTAGCATCTCCTGAGGCTGCTGATTGGACACAAAAATTCCAACCTCAAATCAATTTCTTCACTCATCGGATAATACCCTCGATAGTAGCGGAAAGACCTTTATTAAATCCTCACAACAAACCTGTAGAAGTCCTCTCCTCATCTGATGAAGGGTCAATGTAACAATTTATGGTGTTCCTTAAGCTGTTGATTTATATAATAAAACCGGGTTGTCTATAAATTTTCTGTCACTATATTTTTCTGTGTCAATATAAAATGAAGGGTTTGTGGTGCTTGATAAAAATCACCGCCTCACTTTGCCTAAGTGGTGACATGTTGAGTACAGAATTTCCAAAATGCAAACACTGGTGAAAGATACTGACAGCCATACACTGTTGAGTGTTTCACAGGGGTGAAATCTCAATGAAGTGTGTCACCTCCACTTTGCCCATCTTTCGATACATCACTTGTCAATAGAACCCCTTCCAGCCTCGATCTAATTGAACTTTCCATCGTACTCACGCTTTCCCTCAAATGGCTCGATTCAAAGGAAAGCACCAAACCTTTCGACCCCAAAAGCCTTATTGGCTCAAGGCTCCCAAGACCCCTTTACAAAAGGCACATTTTCAACGTATGCTTGCTGCTGTCATTGCACACACCCGCCGTGCACCTCCAATACCCCACGATATGACTAATCACGGCGATGGGGATCTAGAGCCCCTCCTACCTGACGAAATAGACGATCACCTTCCGCATCCTGATTTTATTGATGAGATATATCAAGAACGAATTGAAGAAGAGCGACGACAACGCATTCTCACCTTGGAACGCTCATCACAAGAGATGTACGATGCCTACATCGAATGTCATCTGAAGACTTCTGAATGGGGGAATCCGACACTGTGGGACTTTGATCACAAGCTTTTGTGTAACTGCCCACCTAGTCAATGGCGCGAAAGAGATATCGATCTCATCGACATCTTATGTAAGCATCAATTATGTATCAATCAAAGCTATCTAGTACTTGATTCTATTGCTGATCATCACACTACACCCCCCAACGCTCATAAGTCAGACACAAGGCTACCATACGATTTTGTTCTTGTCAAAAAAGCGATCTAACAAGGCTGATCCTCATGGGATACATTGGCGGATCACCAAAGTACCCTGTGACAGCATTTTCGATACGCCTCCTACGTTTCTATCATGTCATTTGGAAATATTGTACCACACGTGTGGGCCCTTTTGCTCGAGGCCTGGATGAGTATCTTGACGCGTACAATCCACTCATGCTCAAAAAGAGTGATCAGGTGAGCAATTTTAGTCAGTATGAATTTCAAACACATTCCTTTTTTTACTTGTGTCTTAACATATCACTTTTTTTAGCCTCGTCAATGGCACACACCTTTGTACTGGGCAATAGACACCTATCGATTAATGCTCACAAAGACCGAATCTGCCCTCGATGCCGAACTTCAACTGACCATCCAGGACAAGTTAGCCGAGAACTGCCCCCGGTGCTTTGGCCCTCCGGTCAAGAGCGGTCTAATCGATTCTGAGCCGGACATAATTGTTTGCCTTGATGGAAATTTCCAACATCGAAGGCATATAAGTGCTGGAACCAAAGCAGCAAAGACTGCAACAAAAATGCCTAAGCTTTTTATTCCGGATGAGCAAGTCAAAGAAATGGAACAACAGATCTCTGGTCTTTCGGAAGATGACTTTGTAAGATACAATATACAATCATAAAACAACTGAACTATGTTTTCCTAATAGCAATCTATCCTATGCAGCACGCCTGCGCGGACCAACATACGGCAGGAAATGACACTCGTGGGAAGGGCCACTGGGCCGGATGTGATGAAACGGGCCTCATGGCGATGACGTGTCGTCATGACCACCCGCTTCGATATATAAACATTGTTCAAAGTGGGGAGAAGTCAGTCTCAGTGTCTTCTGGAATCTGACCCGGGATACCACACTGACTTACTTATTGATCGTTTGATTTGTATCATCGTCACTAGACTCTATTATAGCTATACCTTAACACTACAAGAAAGATAATATTTTCTGGGCAGAAAATTAAATTATTGATACACAAAAATATTGAGAGGCCAGGAGGAGAGCAAAAAATGAATAAAAATATGCATCTTGTTCCCTGCGTTGAGAACTTCACTCTGCATATTTTTCCGTATTTTTACAGTCCATATTGATAAGTGTACTAACAATAAACCTTCACAATCATCCAATTACAACCTGTAACAAGCACTGAAATTTGGCTCATTAGTGTTTAGAGAAACTTTTGATTTCTGAAAATACTCATAACTTTTTCAATTCCGGTCCAAAGCGCTCGATTTTGGGTGCATTGGTAAGCTGGAATTGTCCTCCAAATAGTTCATAATCGGCCCATCGCGCACCCCTACCTGCTATTTTTGATGTGTTCTTTTTTATACATTTGTACATACAGATCGGTAGAATGATTGTCATACTAGCTACATAGTTCTTGATCTTATGAAAGTTCGAGAGGAAGAGTTCAGCTTTCTAATGCACTTAAAATCGAGTGTTTTGAGGCCGATTTGAGAAAGCTATAGGTGTTTTCAGAAATCAAAAGTTTCTCTAAACACTAATGAGCCAAATTTCAGTGCTTGTTACAGGTTGTAATTGGATGATTATGAAGGTTTATTGTTAGTACACTTATCAATACGGACTGTAAAAATATGGAAAAATATGGAGAGTGAAGCTCTCACCGCAGGGAACAAGATGCATATTTTTATTTATTTTTTGCCCTTCTCCTGGCCTCTCAATATTTTTGTGTATCAATAATTTAATTTTCTGCCCAGAAAATATTATATTTTGTGTAGTGTAATCAAATGGATTTTGACTATTACAAATGATCTTGGTCTGGTTCCACAGCGGATCTGCTTTCTGTACGACATAGGATGTACGATGGAGAATGGGATCATAAAGGTTAGCACAACAGTTTTAATCAATGATGGTATGAATTGCTGATATCTTATACTAGCGCAACATGTTTGTTGAAGAACGGCAGCGTGGAAGACTCAAGTTTGGAACAAGTGTCTTTCACGCATATGTTCATCTCTGGGCTTGCCAGCTCCTCTGGAATCCCAGGCTCAACGTAGGATTTGGCCTTTCCGATGGCAAAGGTTGTGAACGAAACTGGATGGATCTGACTCCACTAGTTGCACCTCTACGATATTCAACATCACAACATCGAGTGAATGCTATCAGCATGAAGGCAGACCACTGCAACATCAATCGCCGTCATCATGCAGGTGCGTATTTCTATTCTTTTCAATTCCTCCATCCAAATACTTAAAGTGATCTCCTAGCGCGACATCTTGTACGCAGAAAGAAAGAGGTACGTGCAAGACTTCAAGACGCTGAGCAGGCACTCAGAACCCTTGAGATCCCAGTTCAAGGGTACCCTGGCCACAGTGCGAGATTCTTTGAGAGTTTGTGGAACACACGAAAAGCCCAGCAGCTAGATGCAATGAACGAGCAGAAAAGTCGGAAGCAAGAAATGATTGCTCTGTTACTGGGGTTAGAGGAGGATCTCATAGGGGCTTGGTGAGTTAAGAGACGCCTTGGATCATTTCCCTGTTACATCTTGATGTTTAACACTTTTGCTTAATTTCAGAGAACGTCTCAGGGGAATACAAGCGACGCGAAGGAGGGCCCGAACTGACGCTGACAACAACGACCTCATGGCTCTACCAGCTACTGTAGCAGATGTAGAAGAGCAGATCAAGGGTGTGGCAACGGCCCTAGGAGGTCCTGCATTTAGAGCTTTGGCTGGGGCAACTGGTAACTTTCATCTACCTTGGATGAAAATATACCGTGCTAACAAACTGTGCTTTTTGACCCATAAAAGACAGCAAAACTAATGCACTGATAGCCATATCTATTGCACGAAGCAACCTTTATGAGGCCAAAGTGGGCCTCATCGAATCTAGGCTATGTCGTCATCACAACACTGGTAAGTTTTGTAATATATTGTAGTGACGGATATTATACAAATATAATCATTATTTATTGGTTTGATAGGGCAGCGAAATGCACAGTACAATGCGCGTCAGCACAGCAAGAAGACAGCAAACCTACGCGTGAAGTATCAAACCTATGAGCGCAAAGTTCAAAAGTACCATACGGATTTTCCGAGGGCAACACGCGTTCAACTCCCTGACCTTGGAATGGTCATGCAGATGTCATTAGACGATGCTTTCTGGAATCGGGGTGAGGTGAATGAAGACGAGGATGGTGAACATGCGGACAAGTTTCGAGCAGCTATAGATGCAACTCTACTGCAAAGGAGTGCACTTGAGGAGCTGAGACGCATTGCCAGGGAAGTCCGACAGATGATTAGTTGGGCAAATGAATATTACGAACGAATCATGACATTTAAGACACGGATAGAACAAGGCAAGTAAAGTTGCATGTTTAAATTGTATTGGGGAACAACTCTGACCGGTTTGGATTTTCAGAAAACGATCCAGTCTGCCAGTCTAGGAAGATGTCCCTATACACCATTATCTCAAGGAGATGTTGCAAGTTGTGGAAGAATTGGAGCCGCGATCTCCAGCATGAGCTTCAGGAGACTAGTGGAGATCTCAAAGGTTGTGCCGAAGTCGATGAGGCTTTGGGGATGTCTTGGGGGAGGGTATGTGGATGGGCAGGGGAGGAGTGGAAGATACTGGGGGGCGCTGCTGTAATTCGTGCTGAAGAGCCAGACTGGTATGAGGAACAAGAAGACCATATGTATGATTATCTATATGACATGAATGGTGAGGTGTTGGGCAATGATTAGCCAAACATCTATTACACCTCGGCTTAATTAATAAGACTATAACAACATCTTGATTTGTGTACTATAAAAAAGGTGCTTAGATTATATTAACATCTGGATCTTTGTACTATAAAAAAGATGCTTACGTCTCAAGATTGGAAAAACATCTAGATCATCTAATCATGGATTGAGTGAATTACTTGGACATGATACCCTTTGCAGTCGAGTGATGCAAGGATCTTTGTACTATAAAAAAGATGCTTACGTCTCAAGATTGGAAAAACATCTAGATCATCTAATCATGGATTGAGTGAATTACTTGGACATGATACCCTTTGCAGTCGAGTGATGCAATGATATCATTAATCATAATCATCTCTGACATAATATAACAGATTCACTCAACTGCATACTTCCTACTGATACCAACACCTTCAGAATAATCTAAGTCAAGCGCAAAAGTGAGTATAACATTTGATGCTGCAGTTCAAATACCATGCGATTGTTGACAAGTTTTCTTGAGACAACTCATAAAATCCCTATCTTGCGGTAACTTACTCATTTATTATGTATTGCAAAACACACAAGACCAGATACTTATTTATTACTCATGATTCACAACTGAATACTGGGTCAAAACCTCTGAAAAAGTAAGACTTTGAACATTACAAGTTGTGTGTATTATGACAGAGACATCTTACTTGCTTATTATAGATTTGAGTAAACTTATTCAGGTTGGTGTTAAACAGCTTGGTCAGCCACTATCTTATTACAGATTTGAGTAAACTTATTCTATTTGGTGTTCAACCACTTGGTCAGTCGCTATCTTATTTAATCTCATGTGGTTGGTGATTTGGTGATTTTTGAACATTGCAAGTTGCGTGTATTATAGCAGAGACAACTTACTTGCTTATTATAGATTTGAGTAAACTTATTCAGGTGTTTGTTCAACAACTTGGTCAGCCACTATCTTATTCAATCTCATGTGGTTGGTGATTATCAATGCCAATGCCTCCTGGTGAAGCCACCCCTGGCAGTTGTCACATACCAGAGTCAACTTACTCAGGTTGTTGTTGAACCACTTGGTCATCCATGTTCTCATTTAATCTGGTGTGGTTGATGTTGACCAAAAAGCTGCCGGTGAAGCCAGCTTTTTGGTCATCAGCTTACTAAGTGAATACTTACGTGGGCTTCATTACTGATGTTAGACCAGAGTGATTAAATTTCCTTAGCTTGTGGCTCAACAACTTCATCAATCAAGTTTGGATTGAATCTCGCATGGGTGGTGATTACCACTGCCTCCAGGCAAGTTATCAACAAGCCTGGTTGTTGGTTGATAACTTGCCCATTGAATCTTTACATGCGCATCACCACTGACGCTAGTGAAGGTCATTGGTCAACTCTGCCCAACTTGTAGCGTTCTCTACTCCGGATGGTAACAATTGGTCATTGTCACTAACAGGTAGGTCTTCAAACCCACATGCTTTCTCACATCAAAGTGATGAATGCAATCCCACTCAGTGCTGAGTATTGAACTTTTTGATACTCACATGAGAGATCAAGAGATTCCCCGAGTGGGTTGGCAATCATCAACTTAATTATTTGTTGACCTGTTTGATGTTGTTGTCAGTAGAGACAATTGAGGCAATAATACCAACTCCATTGCTTTTTAAATTCTTACAACCATCCACATACTTTGGCCATTTGAAAGATGACCAAAGTATACAGACTTGTTAAAGGCATGATTGGACTCATATTCCAATGATGCCTCTGTCTTTATTCATCTCTGTCATTGGCCCCAAAAAACAAGTTTTTACGCTTCTCAACAATGCGATAATCAGCCAGTTTGTCTTCAGGGGACATAGACCATTGACTCATGTCAAGCAAATGTACATAAACCACCCAAGCTATCACCGTAAAGCACTATCAAACATGTCAGCAAAATGTGTCAGTAAAAACAATAAAGATGTCTTCAAACATGTTTATTAACCACTATCCTGACTCACCAATTTTTGAATACGAACATGGTCCACAAAAGGACCTGTGGCAGTGATATAATAGGTATCTATAATAGGGATAGATATAAATCACAAATTTTGAACTTGCCCAGCACTTTGTCCTCACTGTGTTGCACTTACTGGACATGTACAGAGAATTCTTGCCTACACTTCTGGTAAATAAGCTTTACTTATTTACACGCATGTTATTATACACAACTCTTCTTCCCCTTTTACCTGAAGTTGAAATGAATCAAAAAGGAAATCACAAATCACAACATTATATTCTGTAGTTTCCTGGCTCTGATAAGCATTGATCACTGTAAATCAACGCATATGATAATCCAACTTCCGTCTAATTTCAGGATTGTCGATTTTTTCGCAACACTAAACCACAAGTTATCTCACTCCGTCTGAAGACTAAGGTGTTAACCTTGTTCACCTGATATCCACCTTCCTGCAGTTCTCTAGCAATCAATAGGAAAAAGCTCTACCGTCCTACTGGGACCGTCGGAACGCATCCTAGGACTCATAAACTTTAAATATTCTGTTTTAGACACGCATAGGCAACTAGATTATTTTACTTATGAATAGACCTTCTTACAATTTGGGGGGAACTAAAGATAGTTTGACTCGTGTTGTCAAGTCTAGGACATAGGAATTTGATTTTTCGAGGTAGCTGATGTCTACCTCGAAAAATCAAATTCTCCACACGTGGATGGAAACACCATGATGACAATTGCATTGTGTAACTTCCGAAATGAAACATACCCATAGCACGTCAAAGCAGGAGGCAATGATTTATGTAATCTAACTTGATAAAGGGTTGAAAACTCAGGGAGAAAAGGGCAGCAGGTTCCCTGATTGCCGCCCTCCCACATACCTCGAAGGGCCCTTTCTGCATCAAGTAAAACCGGGTGGATGTGTTGAGGTGGGCCGACTATATCAACAAGGATCTCTAAAGATACTTGACTGGGGTAAATGGCCAATCTACACACCATAATCAATGACATCCTTCATTGAATGAAGGATGCCCGGAGATGGACCGATCTGACATCTGGCTCTGGATCACTTATTGATTTGATCATGTATGTTCAGTTCGGCCAGACCCGTCAGTTTACAAAACATGTTGTACATTCTGAACGCGTGACAAGGAAGTCAGAGACCTGAAACCTGACAGGGGATGATAAACTTGCTGATTTAGCTAATCCATACATTGATCATTGATCGAATGGACAGCGGTTGGTATGACATGAGAAGATCACAAGATTAGGAAGAGTTGTCGGTGTAGAGAAGGTATTTAGAATTTTGACTCTGACTTGTTCATTGTCGCTTCTTGATTGTTTTACTAGCAAGAAGCAAGGCAAATACTTACCTTCGGGATATTCATCTTGACTTCGCCTCGCAACGTATTTCCTAAAGGGGAATAAGCAACGGTTTAGATTCCTTTAAATGAATAATCTTCTAAGGTTCGCCTCGTAACGTCTTTCCTAAAGTAGAATAAGCAACAATATGAATTCCATTAGATTCACAGTCTACATTATCTCAGACTAGATTAATCAACGATGATGATTGATTGACGAGACGCTTGATCGAAGACCACTTACGTTCAAGTTACTCTGATCTATTTAATTAAATAAAAGCAAGCAAGACAATAAATTGATTTGTACCTGATGACGCGGGGAATCACTCCTGTGCCTTCGATGATCAAACCTTGAAAGCTACTAACACCAATACCTAAAATTAAAACATCTAATTGAGATCAGATAAGAAACGCTTTGATTGTCAATCTTTATCAATAATATAGTCAAAAACTTACATTTCATATTACCACTTTCTTCGAGCATGATGCTTCTTTCCAAAAAAATAAAGCTTGAAAAACGAGTTTGACTTCGGTATCAGTAGATAGAATTTGACGAGGGGATTTGAAACTGAAACTGAAACTGACGAACCAGATTGATCAGGATGGTCAGTTTCATAGGATTAATAATGTAAGTGTTCAACCGTGTAAGGTCACATGCTACCGAAGTCGAAGCTGAACAAGTCCATCCGACTTTATACCATTACCTAGAAGTTGTAGAACTAACCTTCCCATTCAACTAACTATACAAGTCTTCCAGAGGTTCAATGCCAGGTTTTTCCGACTCAGAACCTCCGGTCAATCATGAATAGTTAGTTGAATGTTCAAATACTTTGTTCTGTGATTAATAAATGTAAGTGTTCAACCGTGTAAGGTCACATGCTACCGAAGTCGAAGCTGAACAAGTCCATCCGACTTTATACCATTACCTAGAAGTTGTAGAACTAACCTTCCCATTCAACTAACTATACAAGTCTTCCAGAGGTTCAATGCCAGGTTTTTCCGACTCAGAACCTCCGGTCAATCATGAATACAGTCAACTCCCTCTAACTTGATATCCCTGTAAGTGCATAATTCTCTATGTGCATAGGATTTTTTGCCGCCAAAAAGGGGGTTGCCAGCCAAAATGAGGTCTATAAGTGCATATTCCTTTAAGTGCATGAGAAAACCACCCGCCAAACTGTATGTAATTAGAGGGAGTTGACTGTAGTCAGTTGAATGTTCAAATACTTTCTTCTGTGATTAATAAACACAAAACTGAAGATATGAAACCTATAACAAGGGAGAAGATTGGTTAGGGATGAACCAAATCAGATTATCAAAAGAAAACTTACTTAATTTGGAAAGGTGATCAACCGTGTAAGCTAACAAAGTGGAAACTGAACAAGTGACTTTACACAATTACCTTGCACTTGATAATCAAACCTCGTAGCGGGGACACTTATGATGGGTCAAGACTTAAGGTGTATAAAACGATTTCAAGTGAAAACTCTGAAATTCATTCTAAATCACGCATCATGACATGTTGAATTACGATTTCCACAAACCGATTTGCTTTTTGATTGACATCTAAACAGAAGATGAATTGAACGTAATTGCAAGAATTTTATTTAGACCTGAAAGGATGAACAGTCAATTTCAATATTTTGGTTAATAAACATTAGTCAAGGGGTATTGCTTTTGGTTCGGCACTCAACAAGCTCACAGATTCCAATATGATCAACACCGTTGCAAATTGGTTAGTACGTCGTGGTTGAATTTGCTATCTCATGTTGGATAAGGTTTCGTTTGACATTGAAAGGAAGAACTTCAGCATAGCTTCATTTTTGAAATATGAAAGGAGGCAAGCACGCACCCTTAATTGATGTATTTGACATTATGGGTGAGGTTTCGGCCTACATGTGTGGGAGTGATAGAGGGCGAGAATTCGGTGGTCAGCATAGAGCCAGCAGGGATCAATCGGGTGCGAAAATGAAATCCTAGCACATCCGGGTGCTTTGATTTCATTCCCATGAAGCATTGTCAGGGATCCGGCCAAGTCAATGAAACATGGGGCATCGATTGATCCCATTTCTTATAAGGACATAGAGAAAATTGCTTACATTGCTTAGCAGGTTGTTATATGTAGGCAAAAATCCGATTCGCGTTTGTTTTGGGTTTGCTTGTTGATGACCCGATGAAGCTTCCAAAAGGAATTGAACATTAATGAGACGGTCGATTGACATGTGTGGGAGTAATAGAGGGCGAGAATTCGGTGGTCAGCATAGAGCCAGCAGGGATCAATCGGGTGCAAAAATGAAATCCTAGCACATCCGGGTGCTTTGATTTCATTCCCATGAAGCATTGTCAGGGATCCGGCCAAGTCAATGAAACATGGGGCATCGATTGATCCCATTTCTTATAAGGACATAGAGAAAATTGCTTACATTGGATGGAAGGTTGTTATATGTAGGTGAAAATCCGATTTGCCTTTGAATTGGGTTTGCTTGTTGATGACCCCATGACACTTCCGAAAGTAATTGAACATTAATGAGATGGTCTATTGATCAACGTTAGCAAAGCTCCACTGTTTCTGATTCAACAACAAACAGACTCACATTCAAGATCGATATGCTTGTATATTGCTTAGAACACCGATCAATTCGCCTATCTCTTGGTTAAAGATTTTTAGTTTAATCTCTTGAAAATATCGAGTATCCTAAGAAAAGTTAAAAAAAAGGAACAGTGAAAGAAATATCAGTGAAGCGAATCCTACAATAAGTGAAAGAATTGAGATCAAGGAGGAGAATCGGATAGGATTTGAAGAATGGTTTCCTTATATTGTAACGAGATCGAGTTGTGTTGAAAGTCAGTCGGTGTCGAATCCCACACATGCGGATCGACTGCAATTGAGGATCGAGGTTGTTGGGATTGGGCAAAATTGGTGAGATTGGGATTGGTGATATGTTGGTTGTACTCGGACTTAGGTTACCTGACTCAAAAGGGCCACGTGGCGGGGCCGTGCAGCCCGGTGGTCGGGGCTCCCTCATCTTGTACTGAAAGGGGCTTTGCTTCAAATTATGGATGGTATTACGGGATACAAACTAGAAACCCGGAACAAATCCGGGTTTCCCAATTCGGACTTTTTGGCTGTGTTTGCGCAAACTGGGAAACTGGGAGAACGTGGGAAAGTTCCAAACACAGCCAAAAACAAAAACTGGGAAACTGGGAAAAAAAACCCAGTTTTAACTTTGTATCCCGTATATGTAGTTCGAATCACGACTATCACAATGCTCAAATTATGCTGAGTGGGGTATCATAATGGAAATGAGTGAACGGTACTGTGACAATGCATGAATAACAAGTGGGTCAAGTGATGCCTTTGTATTAACTATGTACTTTCAACCACAGAGATACATAAGTGCGCTATAACATGGGCTGGACATTGTTAGCATCAGCGGGAGTTACAGCAGCTTTGACAGTGTAACGTCGAGCTAAGATGTCCTGGTACCAAGTCTGCATGAGATCTTTATCGTTCATGATGGCTGCCGGGCCCGCTGCGAGCATCTCAGCAGTAACCTTGGAGTCACTCGTTTGATGCACAGCAAGCTTGATACCTTTGGGAAAGGTTGTAGCTCGCAATTCAACATCACAGTTGGACCTTTTGGGATGGTTGTGGACTCGGGGTTTTATGAGCTTGCAGTCGACTTTTTCAAGGTGATTTACTAATAGCATGACGGTTCAAATCAGAGGCCATGACGCTACACATGTAATAGGTTTAGACTGGAATTGAAACTTACAAACCAGGC